GCAGAGAGTCTGGAAACGTTTATTTTGGCACAGCTCAGAGGTGTTAGTCTGCGGTGAACTGACCTTATTACTTTTGGACCTGCAAGGAGAAGAGAGGGGAGGGAGACAGAGAGACAGAGATAGACAGACAGAAGAAGAGGAACAGAAACAGAGTTAGAGAGAGAGAGAAATACAGATAGAAAGGGGGAGTACTGAGCCCACAAGAGGGTGGGAGAGACCCCGCAGCCGTTTGGGTCACCCCCAGCTAGGCTGCGCCTCCTCCCGTTAGCACCACAGGCCAGAGACCAGGCCTCTGGCAGATAAGCCTCTGGAGGATATTCAACATCCAAACCGCGACAAATAGCAAATAGTTACTTATGCTCCAGTATATACATTTGTTTGGATTGAAATGAGAGTGTTATTTTCCTTTGCATATATTTGTGATAGAGAGTAAAGATTTATTAATGTACATGAACAAAAATTATGGCTTACATATTAAAGGAAGAAAGACACTACATGATAGTATATTCTTGCATTTTTTTTTTTTTTTTGTACTGGGAATCGCACTCACAACCAAGCCAAAGGTAAGTATAAGTTTGAGTTATAAAGCTAATTTTATTTTGTACAAGAGAGAGATTTTTTTAGGCAGAATTTAAAGTGTATGCTCAAAGAAAATAAGACTGTGGGTCCTCAGAACAGAGGTGTATTAGAGTTTGGAGTTTGGGATATTTATGTGTTTTGGGAGAGTGGAAATCTGTGGAATTTGTGAATCTTCACGCTCAAAAGGATGGCCTACCCACTGAAAGATAATGGGCTGGTTTTATAGGTGAGACACCGGAGCCTAGACTAAATTTTTTTATTTATTTGTTTTTTGAGACTAGGTCTTGCTATGTAGCCCAAGACGGTTTTGAACTCAGTGTGGAGCGAGGCTGGCCTTGAGTTTGGGGTGATGCTCCTGCTCAGCCTCCTTAGTGCTGGGATTGTAGGTGTGTGTCACAATGCCCTGCCTTAATTTTTTTTTAAAATGGGTGATCTAAGTTAAGAGGTTTTGCCTAAAAATAATCTTTGGGGTCAATCTGTTGCTTTATCTTAAAATCAATTCCTGCCCTTTACTTTATCAGCTAAATTAATCTTTGGGATTAAAGTATCTTTAAGGAATTTTGGGTCTGATGCACCTAGAAGAAAAGGAAGAGAAACTAGTTCAAGGAGTAGAGATATAAAATTTAATTGCAATTTGCCTAAAAGTATGTGACAGTTTTCCTCGTCTTCCTTCTAGGAGTCTTTGTACTTTACTTTATCTCCTATTCTTCTTTTTTTTTTTAATCGGTACCGGGGATTGAACTCACGACCGCAGGTGCTTATGCCGTTGAGCTAAATCCCCAGCCCCATTATCTCCTGTTCTTAAGGCATGCGGAAGAGTGGAAGGTCTGTGGCTTGTGACTGTTTTGGCTGGTGAATGCTGAACCAGCCTAGCCTGGGATCAAGTCTCACTCTACTAGAGGAGACAAAGAAAAATGGGTTTGTTAGGTGAACTGTCATCCTTATTCTGGAAAAGAGGATAAAAATATTAGCAATTCATTGACTTTGAAACTTTATTTCATAACCATGTTAAAAAAACAGGGCTCAAAAACTAGAAGTTGAATATTGATGATTAGTGACTCCAAAAAAGTGATAGAAATCAGATGAAATTAGGCTGCATGTGGGATTAGCTTTTTAATACTGACCTCTGTTTTTGAGATGTGTACCTAGGTTCAACAAATGGAGTTTAAGAGCAGTAGACTCCTATTTTGTCAGTAAGGAATTCAATGCAGTCTATTTTAATTATAACAGTGGTCAAAGGATACCCTGAAGACACTGTTTCTGTGACAATGGCCCATTCTCAAACCTTGAATTTTCTGTACCTGAAGACCTTTTGTAGTAACTGGCTCCAGACAAAATTGACATATAAAGTCTGAAGTAGACAAACAATATAGTTAGTTCACACTACAAAGGTGACAAAGCATAGTAGCTAAAATGTTTATATTGGAATTTTTATTCTGTATTGGTATAACTATACAAGAAGCCATGTCTCTGCTTGAGAGATATTTGAAAGTGTTTTAAAATAGCCTAATAAGAATATACTATCAGAGGCTGAAGGCCGCGTGTTTGGGGAGCTGATGGAACCGGGAGTCATGGCCTTTTATGGCTGTGGACTAGGACGTTACAGGTTTAGCTGGAGGCTGTCAATAGGGATTGGTGCTGTGTTTGGAGCTCCTTTTTATATATATCCTGGACTTCTTATTTTGTTTTGTTTTTATATTATTATTAGCTTCTACTGGGTGTTTAAGACCAAGTCAAAGTAAGTCCTGTGTTAACTGAAATTTGTCAAGATCAGTTAAGGCTCCTCATACGTTACTTTTGGGGCTGTGTGGAGAGCCTTTCCGCTTAGAATGTTAGCTGCTATAGTTGTGTCATTCTCCAGGAGAGGTCATAGTCCGGATGAACCGCATGGCTTCTGTGAAATTATAGGGACATTCCCTTCTTTAGTGAACCTCTCTTTTGAAATCTGTACATTGATTTACTGCTGTCCTCTTGTGTCTAATGAACTTTCTGGTTGGGAGACTCACTAGAATTGTCTTTTAGTTAGAACACTAATTTTAAAGTTTTTTTTACATTGAGGTATGGTAGCTTTGGAAGAAGTGGTTATGATCAATCAGAGAAGTGTTTAATGAAACTTAGATTTATTTATTTTTTAATTTTTATTTTAAAGAGAATAAAACCTGACAAAACAATAAAGTCAATCAAAACAAAACAGTGAAAGTGATCTAGGACTTCAAAACAGTCCAGTAGGAAATCTACAATGCCTACCATAACATCTCTTGTTAGCTTCACAGTAGTTTTCCGTACCATCAGACATAGTAAAATCAAATAAAACAAAACAACATTAAATAAAAAAATCGCAACAAAACTAAACAATAATTTTGGATATCAAAAACAAGACAGAAGGAATCCCCCATGTTTGTCGTGCTGCGTGCTGTCATCCTCCTAATGGATGCTTAGACCACCTGCCGTAGGCCTGCAAAGGCAGTCGAACACTACAGGCCGTTAGTTGTTTGTGTCCCTCAGTTGCTGTCAACTCAGGCCGGCCTGCGAGCCAGCTAGATTACTGGGGAGGAGGGAAGGCTTCCTGATTTTCAGCCTGGGCAGTGGTCGGCTCCTGGAGGCTTAGAGCGCTTTTCTCTTCTTGAACCCTGCAAGGGCTGCGCCGCTTACCAGTGCTCCTCCCTCCCCAGCGAGGCTCCTGCCCACTCACCGCGGGGTGGCTGGCTTCTCTCTTTCTGGGCCCTGCACGAAACCTAGATTTTATAATCTTTCTTTTTTTAATATGAAGAAGTATTGCGCTGGTTGAAATGGCAATAAAGGATATTTTTAAGACATTGATTCAGCTTGCAAGTTTTGTCTGTATAAATATAAAATTATTAGGTTAAGTTAGTAATTGATGGTGGTGCTTACATTCCATTGTTTAAGAAAATTCTTCTTACCTGAAAAGATAACTGATGAAATATTCCTTAGGTCAGATATGTGAAATAAATATTTGCATAAACTGATTTTGCAGATGAAAATCAAATTCACATCTTTTCGTGGAATTTTTAGTCTTTGTAGTTAACTTTTCCACAGTAGAAACAGTAAAATAGTTAAACTAAACTACATTTCTATTTTTTCAGACTCTTATGATATAAAAATTAGAAATAGTTTGTAAAGACAAATATGCAAAAATCAATTCTGAAAGGAAAACCTTTGCTAATGTGCTCTAGCGTCCCGGTGACACAGGAGTGGTGGAACAGCAGTGCTTATGTTACCAACAGTGGTGCCATTAAGTCAGTAAAGTTAGCATCAGCTAGTTTTTATTGACTTACATGAAACAATTTAGTAATTCTTAAAGTAAGATAACATTGGTTCCTGGTTGTATTTCTCAAACTGGAAGACGTGGATATAGATGTTTGCTAGCCACACATTATAAATCTTAACTTTTAAAAACTGTTTTCAGTATATCTAAAAATTTCACAATGCGGCAGTTAACGTATATGAGAGAGTAAGGTTTTGGTAATTAGATTTTTATACCCGGTCATGCTGTTCCACCCGAAGGTGTATGCAGCTCTTCTTGGCTTTGTGCAGCAATTGTGATGTTAACGATTTCAAAATAAAATCACTTCTTGAATAATTAAGAAAATTGATTATAAAAATTGTTTATAGATATATCATTACATTCGATACATATTTAGCTGAACTATTGGGGTTTCTCTGTGGAAGATTAATGATAGCCACCCATAGTAGTGGCCAGTTCCAAGGCATGGCCAAAGGCATGAAGGCTTTCTGATCCATCAGAGAAACTTTGTAGTATAGTCAGTATGACAGCGTTAGTTGAATTTGTCATCTTTTTAATGATAGGGTAGATTTTTTATGTTTATAGAGTCAGAAGAGAACCCATTTTCATAGAAGACTAACTCTGATATACATAGTAACTTTTAAGATTATTTAATTTGTGAATGTTCTATATATGAAAAATTAGTTACTCCTCTGAGGTGAAAAATGAATACAGGATAATGGTAGACTGTTTTGTCCTCATAGTTGAAATTCTTGAGTTATTGATTGGCCTAGAATCATAGTATTTATGCCATTGTTTCTCTTTGAAGTGTCTTCAGAGTTGTAAATAGTTTAATTTGTAAATATTGTTTTGGAAGTGAAAGTTGGAGATTGTTTTGGAAGTGAAATATAACACCTGATCTAAGGGGGAATTTTTATTTTATGCTTTGATCCCTGGTTATAATCTAGGCACTTAATATTAATCCATCTGTATACAATTCAAGTTATGTATACTTTGTATCTTTCTGTTAATCAGTTCTATCTCATATCATGATAGGAAAGGGATTTTATTCCAGTTATAGTGAAACAGTGGAATTAAAATATTTAAAAATGAGTATTTGATGATATAATTTGTTTTATTCTATTTAATCTATTTATATTTTAATTTGCATTTTCAGCCTGTCCAGCAATTACGATGCACAGATGAAGAGCCTTTTAAGGATTATAAGGATATTTTGTCACGTGTTTCGCATTGGTCCTTCCTCCCCCAGTAATGGCATTGATATGGGCTACAATGGAAATAAAACTCCAAGAAGCCAGGTGTTCAAGGTCAGAAAAGTATATGATATTGTTAGGAAGATAGACGTAAAAGAGATGAATTTGACAAAGCATGCATTCATTAATCAGAAACCTCAGGAACAGGAGGTAAATTTGGTTCGTATCTGTATCATATTTTAAGTTAGGTCCATTTTTCTTCTTTCAACTCTGTCTAAAAATCTGGAAGGTTTAATTGGTGAGCTCTCTACATTTTTCTTACACAGCAAGTTTTTATTCTTTGGTATTTTAAGAGTAGAGCTATTTATTGTATAATTTTATTGAATTATGTATTTTTAATATGATAGCTACCATTTAAAAATTTCTGGGAGGGAAAGAAGGTACTAAGTTTTTAGTAAATTTTTTTTGCATGTGTGTTTGTGTAAGTAAGATTATTTCATTCACTTGGCGTGGTAATAGTTAATTCTTGGGATCACTTAAGGAAGAGTCATTGAGATATTTCTTAAGATATTTTAGATTATTTCTGTGACCTCTTTTATGGAAGCTCATATGGATGGAATCCTTAAAGAAGGACTCAGATAAAATCCAGGGCAGTGTTGCTATGCATGGTATAGTTTTATGAAGTGAAAAAGTGAATAAATAAATTTTTCATGGCCTTTTAGTTTTTAAAAACTCAGATTTTATTAAAATGTGTAATTTAGTAATTTTCTTATGTACTTTTTGGTTTTGTTTTGATTTTTATCTTTTTACTCTTTGGTGCTGGGGATCAAACCCAGGGAGGGGTCTTTCACCTGCTAGTCAGGTATCTACATCGAGTTATATCCCAATCTCTTTCACGTTAGTTTTTTAAGTTAATTTTGCTTGAGAAGTTTGAGTATAAATACAAGATTATCCATCCAGAAAATAGTGTCAGTGTTTTCATATGCTGTTTACTTAAAATCTGATTAGGATTGCGAGTGTTACTATCTGTAAATTTTGTTGCTACTTTAATAATCTGTTTTAAGCCATTCTTTTCTTAGCTATTGTTTGTTTGTTTGTGGTGCTGGGGAGCAAGCCCAGGGCCTGAGCACGATACTTAGACAATTTTGACAAATACTTTTAAGTGGTTTGTAATCATTTTGACTGGTAGTTTGATTATTAAGTAACGATTGTCTTTTAGAGAGGTATGCAAAAGTGTTTGTGTATCTGTTTGTTTGTTTTCTATGAAAAACTCGGAGTAGGAAAGCAAGTTTTTAGTTAAATACTAGGTCTGTGTGTGTATGTTTTTCCTCTCTCGTGCCACCTTCTGGAAGAAGGAAATCATGCGTCTTCTTTTGATTTAAACTGACTTTTCACGCACCACTTCCTCCAATACTAGTTGGAATTTGCAGTTTTCTGGCCTTGTCATGTTTCAGTCTGAATTGTTAATGTGCTCCTAGGAGTCGCACTGCTCACTTAGGACTCACAGAATTGTTTTTAGTGCTCACTCTTGCTAGGATGAGCCTCCTTGTGATTTTACTTTTCACCCTCCTTTTTACTCATCTGTGATGATAAACAGAAAATAAGGTCAGGGCTGGGCATAGTCACAGTTACCCAGCTTGGACTTAGATTATATTTAACATTGTCTTTTTCGTTGTTACTAGAATTTAAATCTTACACCTACTTGATAATGTTATGAGAAATGCTGTCCTAATTAGTCTTTTAAAGAGCATTTAATGCTTGATTTAAATGTTAGTTTTCTAGTCAGGCAGTCAGAATAGACATAACAGGGTAGAAAAGGCTATTGTTACATTTCTTTTTAAAAATGAAATCCAAAATTTGTACATATATGGTATATATGAAATTCTTCCCATTTCTGTTATCAGAGTCTTCATTTTTGAGGTGTTTTCAGCATCATTGACAAGTGCTCTTGCCACTCACTGCTGTTCTTTTTAATTATGAACTTACTTTTTAAAAATTTATTTATTTATTAATTGGTGCCAGAGATAGAGCTCGGACCTTGCGCTTGCCAGGCAGGCTTAGGCCTCTGAGGTAAATCCCTGGCCCCTGAACTTCTTTTTGTAAAATGTTTGTAATCCAAAATGCAGCTAATTTTCAAAAACATTAATTCCTGTAACCTAGCCAAGAATGTAAAAGACCTATATGCTGAAAATCATGCTACGCTAAAAAAGGAGATTGAAAAGGATATTAGCAAATGGAAGGATATTGCTTGTTCTTGGTTAGAAAGAACCAGCATTGTGAAAATGGCCATACTGCCAAAACTGTTATACAGATTTAGTGCAATCCCAGTTAAAACATTATTAACAGACTTTGCGGGTCTAGAGAAAACACTCCTAAAATTCATTTGGAAACAGAAGAAACCTAGAATAGCAAAGGCAGTTCTGGGCAACAAAGGCAAGGTAGGAGGCATCTCAATTCCTTAGCTGAAATTATACTACAAAGCTACTTGGTACTGGCAAAGAAATAGACCTGAGGATCAGTGGAACAGATTAGAAGATGCAAAGACAAATACAAAGACACTCAGCTATTTTATATTTGACAAAGGGGCTGAACATGTTCACTGGAAGAAGGATAGCCTCTTCAATAAATAGTGTTGGAAAAACTGGCTTTCCACATGCCAAAGACTGAAAGTAGACCCATGTCTATCCCATGCAGTAAAGTCAAAATGGATCAAAGATCTAAATATTAAAACAGAAGCATGAAATCTGTTGGAAGACAAGGTAGATAGAGATCTTGCAGACTTAGGGGTAGGCAAAGAATTCATGAACAAAACACAAAACACAGGAAGTACTTCAGAGAATCAACAACTGGGATCTCATCTTATTAAAAAGTTTTTGCACTTCAAAAGAAATCACCAACAAAGTGAAATGAAAACCCACAGAATGGGAAAGAATTATAGCCAGCAACCCCTCAGAAAAAGGACTTACATCCAGAACATACAAAGAACTGAAGAACATCAAGCCCCCCAAATCCAAAGACTCTCTCCAAAGGTGGTGTCTGAGATGAACATACAGTTCTCAGATGAAGATATACAAATGGCAAATAAATTCATGAAGAAGTGTTCACCATCACTAATCATTCGAGAAATGCAAATTAAAACAGCACTGAGAGTCATCTCATTCTGGAAAGAATGGCTGCCATCAAGAAATCAATCGATAACAAATGCTGGCGAGGCTGTGGGGAGAAAGGAACACTGCTCCAGTGTCGGTGAGAGCGCAGACTGGTGCGGCCACTGTGGACATCAGTGTGGAGATTCCTCGGAAAATTAAGATGGGAAGTTCCTTTCAATCCAGCTATTCCTCTCCTGGGTGTTTTCCCAGAAAAACTGAAGAGATGATGTCACGGTGATGTATGTGCACCCATGTGTATAGCAGCACAATTTGTAATAGCTAAATCTTGGAAACAACCAAGATGCCCATCAGCCGCAGAGAGGATGAAGAAGGTGTGGTGTTTTTATACAGTGAATGTTATTCAGCTATAGAAAGGATGATCTTGAGGATAAAAGTAGGGACTGCACTGCCGTCAGTGCGTGTACGACTTCCGGTTCGTTTTGGGTAATTGAGATTACAAAAGTCTTTCCTGTTCGCCGCGTTGCTGCAGCGTGAGGCTGGAAACACCATTTAACTTTCACCAGACTTTTCCCTAAGGAAGCTGCTGTTCCTACTTTTCACTTCGGTCACTTCGTGAACAGTGTTAACTGTTCATTTTACTGTGAGGATTAACCAGTGGGCTTTTCATTAAGAATGAGTGAGTTTAAGGCTGTACTTATTCAGTGAGTAAAGTTGTTCAGCATCGTACTTTACTGATTTTAGAAGCCCTTTAAGTTCATCGTAACACAGTCGTTCTTCCGGTGTTAAAAGGGATTTTGAGTTTTCACAAACTTCGGAATGTTTGAAGGGTTCATTATCTCAGCAGAGTGAGCACGGGCAGACAATGTATGATGCGCTTTCTTTCTGTGCAAAGCAAGTTGGCAACTATTAATGATTTCATGGGATTGGAATTTGGAAGCCAAGGAAGACGGAGAAATTTAGCTTGTGATGCTGTCACTTGCATTGTGATATTTGACACTGTCAAGTTGCGAAGAGCCTGAGAGGGCTTCAGTGCACTAGACAGACGGTTAGTCAGTGTAGGTCCTGCCTGCCTGTCAGAGTCCACCTCACTTCGGCACATCTTGGCGTGTTAAACATTGTCCAGTAACTTTGGGATGATATATTGTAGCTTTGAAATATAATTTAAAATGTTTATAAGTCCTGTATGATTGTCATGTCCTTGTTGCATTGTACAGAAATAATAATTCTTGTGAAGATCACTGAGTACTATGAGGTGAAGTAATATTTTATTGTGCCAAGGAGACTGTTACCATGGTGATGGGCTTATTTTTTTCAGTAATAATTGATAGGTGTGGTGTCAGATGTCCTGTTTTATTATTTATAAATATTGAAGGCATCATAGATATGGTAAATGGTAAAAGAGAGGAACACAGAGACAGACGTCTAGACAGTCACAGACATTGAAAGAGAAAGTAAAACCCAAAATAGTTTACTTTTCTCTCCCTTCATTTTCTTCTAATTCTTTGCAATATTCCTATATTAAAAACTCTAGCTTTTTAGTGTTTCTGTCACTGTCATTATCATATAGTTTCATTTTTTCTTTGATATTATTTTTGGATTATTCAGGATTCACCTTTAAGTTTTGCCTCGTCAGTGTTTGAAAATAGGATTGTACCAGGTTTAAGCTCATTGCTCATCTGCGTGATCCCTGCAGCCTGCCTTGGCCTAGACTTCATTTCTATATGATGTGTTGATTTTCTGGGTTTTACCATTTGTCATTTAGAGGCCAGTTATTCCTCTTTCTTTCTGTTTCAAATAGTTTAATGTTATTACCTGTTCTTTCCATTTTGGAAGTTTATCTTCTGATGTAAAGCTAAGTAGTTTGCTGACATACAGAGTTTTTCCTTATCTGTGGCACGTTCAGTTAATGTTTCTCAATAGAAGCAGTAGATTGGCCTGTGTTGCTGCAGTTGTGATGGCGTGATTTGCTCATTAACATTAACTAAATCACAGGAGAAATTTCTTTTTTTCTTTTTTTCTTTTTTCTGGTACTGGGGATCGAACTCATGACCGCCTGCTTGCAAGGCAGGTGCTTATGCCGCTGAGCTAAATCCCCAGCCCCTGAGAAATTTCATTATTCTCAGTAAGAGTGTTTAAAATAGGAGTAAGAAGCAATACTTTTTTTTTTTAGTTGTTAATCTTTACTCAGAATTAAGAATTTGCTGGAGGCTGGGGGTGTAGTTGAGTGGTAGAGTGTGTGCTTAGCTCGTGTAAGTGACCCTGGGTTCAGTCTCCACCACAAAAAATCTGCTAGTCAGTATTTATAGAAGTTTGGTAATTATATGCATTGCTTTAAATATTATTGTTAATTTTGGATTGTGGCACGTGTGTGTGGCCCTATGTTACGCGTGTATACATATGCTATATTTTATTTTTCTCATAAATCATCAAAATTCTAGGAGTACATATTATAATTCCCAACATTTACTTCATTATGTCAAAAAATTTTAACTAGATAAAACATCTCTTTTCAATTTAAAAAATGATTTTTAAAAGTAGGTATTTGAAAATTGAAATAAGACTGCTTAAGTTTTGTTAGATTTTAGCTTTCCTTTTTATGCTAAGGAATACATAAACGTTCACCGTATTTTTCCGGTATACCTTGTACATACAAATTAAATGTTAGGGGGGCTGGGGATTTAGGTCAGCGGCATAAGCACCTGCCTTGCAAGCAAGCGGTCGTGAGTTCGATCCCCAGTACCGATAAAAAAGGAAAAAGACAAAAACAAAACAAAAAAACCAACTTAAATATTAGCTATGATGAAATTTTCCACGTATGTGACATTTGTCTGTGTTTCTACTTACCTTCAATCTTTATTGTCATTAACTTGGGAAGATAGAAGTGTCTGGAGCACATTTTTTCTTGTATACTATTTAGGTATATGGAGTTGATTTTTGTGTGTTTTTATCTCGTAGTTTAATAGTGATTAAAAAGCGTATTTTTTTCTTCTTAGCCTCTGGAGTTGCTTTGGCACTCATTAGATGAATGGCTCGTTTTAATAGCTACAGAATTGATGAAAAACAAGGAGGACTCCACGGATATCACTTCTATTTTACTGAAACAACAAGGCCAAGATCAGGACGCCACTTCCATCCCAGCCTTTGAGCCTCCAGGAGCTGGGAGCTGTGAGCGTCTCTCGACGGGCACAGGGGAATCTGGACCGGACGCTCTCGCGGGGAAGCAGGAGGCTGGCGCAGACTGTCAGGATGTTATCTCCATGACGGCCAACCGGCTCAGCGCTGTCATCCAGGCCTTTTACATGTGCTGCTCCTGTCAGATGCCTCCAGGGTAGGAAGGCTGCGGCTCGCTTCTTTTCCTGATAGATGAAGAAAAGCCGTATTTTTGTAATTTCAGTAGCAACAAATACTGTTTATTGATTTTAGGCTCTGTTCCAATCTTATTTTACCGTACTCATTGTCTGACTCTAGATCTGGTACAAAATGTTTACATTTTTAACAGGTGCGATGTAATTTGTTTCTGTGTAAATGGTGAATGCCACCTTGTATAGCATCTCGTGTCACGTGTTTACATAATCTATTAAGGAGAAGTTGTATATTTTATTTTGTTTCACAAATTGACAAGATGCGCCCCAGTTTTCTAAATTATAAAGAAGATCTAAACCCAAGTTCTTTCAAAAGGTCTAGAAGGCCTGAAGTTCAGTACATGTGATCACACTTGCTGAATCGTGTCCCCACTTTGTGTCTGTGTGTTCTGACAGTGTTTACTCTTTACAGAATGACCTCACCTCGTTTCATTGAATTTGTCTGCAAACACGATGAAGTTTTAAAATGCTTTGTTAACAGGTAAGGTTTTCTGGGAGTCAGAGACTGCCGTAGCTACCTTTCCTGCTTTACATACAGTGTCATCTGTTACAATTAAAAACTGCTCAGTAACCATTGGAAGGGAAGTAGAGAGGATTAACGCGTTTTGTCTTTACATCTGTGTCTCTGTATCTGCATCTGCGTTTTGCTCACTGGTACTCATCTGTCCTGCCCACTTACACAAAGTCTGTTTTTCTTTTAGAAATCCCAAAATCATATTTGACCACTTTCACTTTCTCCTTGAATGTCCTGAGTTGATGTCAAGATTTATGCATATCATAAAAGCACAGGTAGAGACTTTCTTCCTCTTGATTTTAGTGTGTTTAATGAAATTAATTTTTAAAAGTGGAACGTTTACTGATTATTATACTTGAAACTTTTGTAAGTAAGAGGGATAGAATGACATGTTACTCTAAGCAGTAAAGTTTCCCTTCAAGAAATGTGTGTTGAGTGCCTACTGTGTGCGGAGACCTGTGCGGAAAAGACAGCAATGCATTGCTCTGTTGTCTGAAAGGAGTTGATGACATGCCAGGTAAATGGTCTTTGAGAAAATGATTTTATTCCAAAATATATTTGGGAAATTTGTAAAGCATAAGACCAGTATATAACGGGATTTGGGGAACCTTTTGGTGGAAATAGTGATTTAAAATAGGGATTTTCTGAAGTTGCTTGACTCTGCCAGGTTGTACCTATTCATTGCATGGAGCTCAAGTCCAGTGAAGTGTGCTGGGGAAAGGCTTGTGTTGCTGCTTATTAGCTACGTGATTTTGGGCACATTTTAAAAAGATCCTTGAGCCTTGAGTCCTTGTGTATAAAATAGGAATGATCACAGCAGCTTCATAGGATTGTTGTGACAGTGAAGTGTTTAGAGAGTAACTGACACATACGCTCAATAAATGTCGTTTTTTGGAGATAGAAATATTTTCCTTTAAGCTAGAAAGCAAATAATTACTTGTTTCTTTAGGAATTCAAGTAATAAAGAGCTTGAAGTAAAGGGAAATTTCAAAAATGAAATAGATTTTTAGGTGGCTTTCAAAAGCTTGGAAAACGTGGAACGTTGCAGAAGAAGTAAAGGGAAGGACGAGCGTCCTGCCAGAAGTGCAGGCTGGCAGACGGGAGTGTCTGCCTTGGTTTGCCAGGCTGTCGGAGGCAGTGACAACTGCTTCAGGACAGTTACGCCATCCTGCCAGTGTTTTAGAAGATAATACAGATTGGAAGCTGTGGTTTGATTAAGCAGTCATAAAATGATAAATAACATAAGTAGTTTTTAATGTCTCTAGTTACACAGACTTTTAAAAGTTAAAAAATCTTTTATAATATGCACATGTAAATGGAGATCTTTTGATATCTTTAATAAAGTAGTGTAAAGGAGAAGATGATAGCTTATATTGTTTGAATGCTAATTTTAGACTTAGTACCATATATTTGCTTTAAATGAATGATTTTTAGAACAGTCAGCTTCTTTTATTGAAGCTGAAGGGGTTATGTAACTAACTCATTTAGTCATTAAGTAGGAGAACCAGGAATTAATATTCTGTTTGGTTCATAAGTTTTTCTTTTTTGGTGCTGGGAACCAGACTCACGATCTTGTACATGTTGGTCAGGTGCTCTTCTGTTGAGCCACACCCCAGGCCTTCCTTATTTATTTGCTGTGTCTGAGCCATACCTTTAACCGTTTTAAGTTCACTTTCTTCTTTTCTGTTTGTTCTCCTAGTGCTGGGATTGAATTTAGGGCCTTATGCATAATAGCCAAGCATTCTGCTTCTGAGCTACATTTTAGCTTCCTGGGTTCATTTTGTTAACCTATACTGTAGTACCTGCTTCTTTTCTAGGGCAAATGAAAAAATAGGTGAAAACAGCTTTTAGTTTTTCAAACAGAGGTAGTTTATTTACTCTTTTTCCATAACCTGTTCTTTTCACTTTTTATTTCCCAAACAATTTAGTCGGAAAATATTTGTATTATACATCTCCCCGTATTCACCCAGAAAGGGAGTTTTGTTGATGCACCAGGGTGAAGAGACTCCCCACATGGATAGTCGGGCTGTTGTGGGGTTTGGAGCTCGGAGATGGTGAGGAGGTGTCTGGGTAGAAGCAGGCTTAACATGGGCCGTGTAAGTTGGAAGCGGCCCATGCGGAGGGGAGTGGTCGCTGTTGGAGTTACCTGCAGTGGAGAGGCTTCCCTGCAAAGGAGATGGCTGTGCTCAGGAGAGAGGAGCGAGGCTGGAGACTGATGAGAAGAGTAACTGATTCCTTATTTTTGGAGCAAGTAGTTATAAAAGGGCAGAACTAGCACAGAGTCTGTGCTGCTGAGTTTGAATTGGAGATACGTGTGTGAACTTAGAGCTTGCACTCTTTAATGACAGGTTAAACAAACCTGGCATCAGTTCTTGGTCTTCATGTGTCATTGTGGATGAATGAGGGCTTATTAGAGAAAAATGGCAAATTGCAGAGCTGGGTTATGAAAAGGCCCAAGATGAGCCTGAAACATTTGGTCGTTCAGGAAAGTAAAGAACCATTCAAAATATGGTGGAATTATGTCACTGTGACTCAGAAGTCAGCTCAAGTGCATTTCCACTGGTCAGATTGAGAACAGTGTAACATCAAAGTAATGATAGCAACATAATAGATAAATAAGAGCGCCCAGTGTGGGGGCCACTCCTGTCATCCCAGGCTGTGGCAGGCTGTGGCAGGAGGGTCTCTGGGGGTGTGAGGTCAGCCTGGACTGTATAGTGAGTTCAAGACAGCCTGAACTACACAGCGAGGGAGCCTGTCTCAGAAAACAAGCAAATGAACAGAAAACCCGTACGTCTTTTCTGAAAAATTAGTGAATAAATACGGAAAGTTTTGTGAGGTGTGGGATTTTTATAGTCTCAAAATATGTCCTCACAGAATACTTTCCAACTACACAGAGAAGGAGGTGCTGCGCTGTGGAGAAGTGTGGCACAGTAGACACACTCGTGTGCCAGCTGGAAGAGACGAGCCTGGCCTTCCTTCTGTGATGTTTTCTAGAGCTCACGCTCCGAGGTGAGCGTGAGGAAGCAAAGCCAACTCCACTGAGAGTGTGCAGACAGTTAGCTGGCCTGTGTGCTCAGGAGCATTAAGATTGTGCAGATGAAGAGAAGGGTGAAGAGCTGCACTGGAGTTCAGGAAGCAGAGACGGGGCAGTTAAAGGCAGTTCATGAAGCATTGTACTGTGAAAGATCACTGGAAAACAATTACAAGTTGAAATTCGGTCTAAGCATTGGATGCATCAGTGTCCTAATGTTAATAGTTGTTATCTGGTTACGCAGTAGAAGTGCTTTGTAGGGAACGTTCATCGAAGTGTACGGAGGACGTGGCAGGGTATTGGCAACCTGCTCTCACATCAAGGAAAGTAAAGGTGCTTTTACTCTACTGTACTTGGAATTTTTTTGTAACTTAGTGACTGTTCCATCCAAAAAAAGTTAAAGAGCAACTTCCACTACCAAAGGATTGACTTCTTCTTCTGTTGGTGGTTTTCAGGTGGCCAGTAGTTAAAGGGAGAGACATTTTGTATTGCTGTACAAATGCTATTAAAGAGGAGCCACTATAATCAGTCCTGTTTTGTGAATTATATATGGAAACTCAGGTACTCAGAAAGTTTATATACAAAAATGCACCCTTTGGCTGTGCAGGTGTTTTTATGTGTGCATGTGCTTGTGTGTATGTGTGTGTGCGTGAATCCATTTATTGATATTTACAGATATCTTACTAGCTTTTGAAGGTAGCAGGTTGTACCTTTTAGTGTTCCACGTGAATTAGTTCAAAAATTGCCATTCATTTTTCTCAGTTCACATTTTATGGAATAAAGACAGGTTGAGATCTACAGTGGCAAGGATCTACTGTCATTTTAAATAGTGATTGACAGTAACTTTAATATTGTTATGAATGGTATTAGAATAGAATTAAATGAGTGTTACTGAATGTTGTTGACGTTGAGTATTCTCTCAAGTTACTTGACTCCTTGGAGCTACATATTTCTCTTCTGTCAGATTGGGATTACAGTCCTGTTACTTGCTTCTCTTGTGAAACTTGGATGTGTAGTGCATGTAAAGGGCTTAAAGTAGAACCTGGCCGATAGGTGCTGCCTGAGTGTGAGCTAATTTATGATTATAATTATGAGTATTATGTTATACTTGCATTATTTCATTTAATTCTCACAATCCTTGAAGTAGATATTTTCTGTTTTACAGGTGAAAAATCTAGGAAGTTTTGAAAAGATTAGTAATTTTCTTAAGATCCCAGACCTAGTGGTAAAATTAGGATTTTGTGTAATGTTTATCTTACTCAGAGCTCACGACTAAGTGCAGTGCTTCAGTGCAATGTTTTACTTACTGTGCTACCAAAATGTTAGCAATAACAGCATTAAAATTTTGAGTTCATTATATTCCAACCTGTTTACTAAAAATAAATGTTTATATGCAGACTAATGCATATAATAACATCAGTGGCAGTGTTTTGTTAAAATGTGGAAGACTTGCACGTGCAGATAAAGTTACACATTCAACTTTAAAAAAAGGATTATCTAAGTCCTTTTCTTACTGAAAAATCAGATATTTTAAAAGTAATGTGTCATTAGTTATCTAAATTAGTATTTTTATTAAGATTTAAAAAGTAAGCCTTTTTAAAAAACACTAATAGTTAATTTCACTAAAATGAACAAATTTATTGCTGTCTTAGAAATTGCCTGAAAGGAGAATTCTTAGTGGTGTTGGATGGTGTGATGTTTATCTCTTCAAGAGTGTGAAGAGGAAATATAAATAGCACCTCACTTATGGTAGTTGTTTTGAAATAGAAATCATTTCTTTTTATAAGCTAATAATCAGTAATTACAGTATGTCTCTGGGAGTTTAAGGGATGAAGAGCTTGCAGTAAATGGGTATTTTAAAAAGGAGGTAGATTTTAAGTGACTTAAAATCTTGGAAAGCATGGAATATTGTGAAGGGAGTGAAGGGGGGATCAACATTGTAGCAGAAGTGGGGGCTAGCAGATGGGAAGGTGTCTAAGACTACAGTGACTGTCGCAGGCCTTTCGTTTAAGTGAGGAGTAGGATAGGTTGGGGTCGTACCACATTGAGCCTGGGTTGTGAGCTTCAAGGATCTTTGCTTGGTAGGCTGTTAACAGGCACCGATAGCTGCTACATCTTCGAGGAGTTGGCTTATCCTTCTGGGCCTTTCTGTGTGTCTCCCTTAACCTGCTCTGCCTTTTTTCTCCCTGCGTGCAAGGCCTACAGAACTGTTTAGTCCTAGTTCAAACCAAGAAACCTTTGTGCTGCTGAATCTGCAGTTTCTAAATTCATGGTGTATCTGTAGTTTGTATTTCACTGTTAAGAACTTGATTTTATACAAATTGAGAATTATACTCTTCTGTTATTAATAGTATTGGCACATACAAGGTACTCAGTTACACTTTCGGAGTAATTACAGGAATTGCAGATAACTTGCAGCTTGCTTTACCTCACAAATGAAAAAAAGCTTAAACTTTCTTTGCTCTTCAAGAGATCTCAGTCCTTAGCTTTTAGGGTAGAAGAATGGAAGACTGAAGGATAACATTTTTTTTTTCTATTGCTGCCTTATATTATAAAAAATAAAAAGATTAAAGCTAGTTGTAAAGGATTACTTTCATGAAAAGTTAAATGAAACATGGGCCATCGTTTTTCTAGGTGTGACAATTCATTCTTGTAAGCTTTTTTGGATTTAAAATAAATTGAAAGTAAATATGTTCAGTTACATTCGTATTAACTTCTTAGATGTGACATCAATTCTTATTGTTAAAAATGTAGGAATTAAAAAATGCACTATTTAGGTAAAGTATTTCAGGTATGCTCTGAGTAGTTTTGTGAGCAGTTGTTGAAATGTTACAGCATTATTAAATACTTACTGTAAATGAAGTCTAAGAATGATTATTTGTAGAAATTTACTAGTACTAAGCATGCTAATAAATCTCGGTAATTAGGGAACTGAGACACTGCTAACGTATTTTACTGTTGTTTTTTGGGGATAGCCATTCAAAGATCGTTGCGAATGGTTCTATGAACATCTGCATTCCGGACAGCCAGATTCAGACATGGTGCACAGGCCAGTGAGTGAAAGTGACATTCTGCTGGTTCACAGAGGTGCGTTCACAAAGAAGCTATACGTGTGTAAGGTGTGAAAATTACTGTAAAGTTTAATATGTAAAATTAACCAATACTACATATTTAGATTCTATTTTTAGGAGTAGCTGTGAAGTTGTGTCAAAAGCAAATTGTGCAAAGCTAAAGCAAGGGATTGCTGTACGGTTTCACGGAGAAGAAGGCATGGTGGGTCCAAAATAAGTGACGTAGAAATCACGGTGTATAAACAGAAACATTTGATGTTTAATATTTGATTAGAGAAGAAATTTAGTATGATTTTAATTTTATTACTGTTTAGAAAAACTCTCCAGTACATTTGTGTTGATGATAAATTTTATTTTCTTGAATTTAGGGTCAAGGTGTTGTGCGTGAGTGGTTTGATATTCTGTCAAATGAGATAATTAATCCTGATTATGCACTGTTTACCCAGTCAGCTGATGGTAAGTTGAGTGATTAGAACTCCTCTGTGGCTTGTCATGGTTTTCAGACTACTTCAGTACACGTTATCTTTGGTTCCCACAGTAGCTGTGTGAGCCAGGTGGGATATTCCCATGTCACAGAAGTGGAAACTGACATTCAGAGGGTTTGTCTACGTTGACACACCTGACGGAGGTGGTAGAATTATTACTAGAATTTAACTCAGTGTAACATTCTTTCCTGTAAGCAGCTGGTTTTCAAATGCTTGTCTTCTGGTCTGATACCGGCCATGACGGAGTTCTCATCAGTCCTTTTAAATTTATTCACTTTAAGCATTGTCCTTTAGTCTTCTTTTGTTGTTGTTGTTATTGTTGTTGAATAAATATTTTCTTTTTATAAAAGAGTGTGGCTAGTAAATAGACGTAAAAAAATTTGGCAACCCCATTTGAGTTTCTTAAAATTTACTAATTTTGAAAATTAACATTTTGGGGGCTGGGGATTTAGCTCAGGGCATAAGCGTGTGCCTTGCAAGCATATGGTTGTGAGTTTGATCCCCAGTACCAATGAAAAAAAAAAAAGAAAGAAAATTAACATTTAGAAATTATGATAGTAAATCTTAACTCATAATTTATTCATTCATACTAACTTTATTTTTAATCCTTTTAAGAGCTCATCACCTGGCAACTAAAAAGCTACTAAACACATAATATAGCTGGACAGTTCTTTTTGTGGACAATGGTACTTGTGACTTACAGTGTTGGTATAGTAGATGATATGCAGATAGTAGCTGCCTCATCTTTGTGAGGTTTATTTGAGAAATTTCTAAACTAATACTTATATTTGAAATGATGGTGATATTTGTTTGCAGATGTTTGCACAGTTGCCTGCTTTTCCCGAAAGTGTTTTCTTTCCTTAGAGATGCTTCCTCAGTAGCTTTTTTAAAAAAATGATACTGGGACTTGAGCCTGTGGCTCATGCTTGCCTAGCAAGTACTGGACCACTGAGGTAGCTTCCCAGCCCCTTTTCCTCAATGTTTTGCTTTTACATTCTTTTATAAGAAGTGAATACCGTATCTTTTCATTTTCCCTTGAAACTATTTCATTAGATTTATCAGTTATTTTTTCCTGTAGCGTCAGTATATAGCATAAGCACATTATATATTTTTTTAATAAATGAGTAAATTTGTAATCAGAGTTGCTGATCATCACAGAAAAGATAGGAAGAAGTTGAATCTGAGGTGTTAGCGTTGTTTTTCTATTACACTAGATTTTGGTAAAGTATTGTAACTTTGGAAGTGTTTAATTTGGTGGCATTAAGTGCAGTACGTGGAATATACTGTGCAGCCATCACCACTAATTTGAGAACTTTCTCATCGGCTCAAGAAGAAACTGTTAAGTAGTGACTAGCTCTCGTTCAGCCTTCCTCGACCCTCACATTACTGATCATATAAAAATACTGCCTATTCTGGATACTTCTTAGAAGTAGAGTTATACTTCATGGCTTTAGATTTTAACAGTAATCATTAACTGTCAGTAACCTTTGCCATTTTTACTTTAAGCTCTGTCGTAATTTTTACCATCTAATTATTTGCCATGTGGAAGAATTGGTTGATTTGTGGACCTAGGTGGGGTGGTTTTCTTATCACTGTTAGTAGGTATCAGGTTCAGTGATGAGGTCCATTACCTAAAACCAGTTGTACATTTGAAATTGTTAGTTCTTCTTAGAGTGTTCTATTCCTTAGGAAACAAAAGCTAATGAACACCTACTGCAGTGGGTGTGTATAGATGAATGAGACAGTGTCTGCCTCACGTTATAGCCTGGTAGTCAGTTGACATGCTTAGGAAAGTAGGTGTGTGTGTTTGTAAATGATATTTATCACATATTTTTCCAGGGTTTCTCTGGTGTTCTTCCAACTATTTTTAGTCAAAAGTGTCGTAAAATTTTCTGTCTAAACACTGAACTTGCTCTAATGAGGATGCGTGAGTTGTTGGTTATCTTCTGTCTTTCCCAGTTCTGCTGCCTCGCTGTGTATTCCATAAAGAATGTTACTGTGGAAGCTTGTATTTAATAGGCCCTTAGCTTTGCTAAAATTGCATGAGAATCTATTTTATGTACACTGAAATTATCCATCTTTTTAATGTAGATTCTTGAGAATAAACTTTTTTGTACTTATTTAATAGGAACAACTTTCCAGCCTAATAGCAACTCCTATGTAAATCCTGATCACTTGAACTATTTCCGGTTTGCTGGACAAATCTTGGGATTAGCTTTGAACCATAGGCAGCTGGTCAATATTTATTTCACACGATCATTCTACAAGCACATTCTCGGTATGGTTCTTTTATTTCCAGTGACATCTATTTTCATTGGCTTCCTTACAGCTTTTAAGGGAAAACTAAACAGATAAGTGGTGGCATTTTGTATGAAATAATTTTTAATGGAGACTGTGTGTGTAAGTTAGTTGGGAAACAAAAAGGAAGAAAATAACTGTAAATCTTTTGTCTGAAAGTTCTGTTTTCCATTTAGTGTGTATGTTTAAACAAATAATACATCTTAATATGAATATATTTAAGATAATTGGAATTTTTGAAGTTTATAGTAGCTTCCTTAACAGCTGTTTCAAAGGAAGATTACATTGTAAAGTTGTGGAAGAAACAGGCTCAATTTAACGAACTTCCAAATTTAGTGTCCATTTAAAACGTGCTGTGGAGTGGAATATATTTTGCAGTTTTCCAGAATTTCTGTAGAGGGCAGTATTTTACCATTAAACAGATAAGGAAAAGCAGGCACATTTAGACTGTAACTGCTGTATTTTTGCATTTTTTTTAGGTATTCCTGTAAATTATCAGGATGTTGCATCCATTGATCCAGAGTATGCCAAAAATTTGCAGTGGATTTTAGATAATGATATTAGTGATCTGGGTCTGGAGCTGACCTTTTCTGTCGAGACTGATGTGTTTGGAGCCATGGAAGAGGTTCCTTTGAAACCTGGAGGCGGAAGTATTCTTGTGACACAAAGTAACAAAGTGAGTACCCGAGCCATTGTTTTTAGTTTGGCTCCCTGATAGTTGGCAAATTATTTTGTCACTTGTTAGATAAACTTTTACTGTGGTAGTTTCACAACAGATTAAAATATTTAATTAGGGAAATTGACAAATGTCAAATTTTAAATTAGAAAAGGCCATTTCAATATCGTACTGGCTCTGTTGAGATGGTTTCTAAAACTGTCTTGATATTTAACTGATTTATAAGTCAGTCATCTGCATTTGAAAATTTTGATTCAAAATAAAGCTTAATATTTATGTCAGATAATATTTGCGTCATTTTTGAAGTGCCATAATAGTGTGCTAATAGAGAAAAGAGGAAATGCCAGTGTTTAAACTTGGTGCTCATGCCTTTGGATTCTATTGTATTAGTCAGATTTTTTGTTTTTTTACTTTATCTCCTCTATGTATGTTACTATAAAATCTTGGTACTTATATATATTTTAAATTTTCTTACTGTGTCTTTATACAGTTTATTTTGGTATATTCTGAAGGACCTTTAGATTCACAACATTGGTTGGTTTGGAATTCAATTATCATTATTTTTCCTTTCTTTAGTCATCTGTGATTTCAAGGCAGCTTCAGAATCAACTAATTAGGAAATAGTGTTATAAAATATCTTGTAGACTTAGGTTTAGTAAAGTAGGGATTATTTTAAAGGACTGAAAGACTTGGTCACACGTGTACATGTGTGTAAAGTGTGTGTGTGTGTGTGTGTGTGTGTGTGTGCTTTCAGTGCTGGGAATTAAGCCCAGGGCCTTATGTCTGCTGGCGAAGTACTCTACCACTGAGCTACACCACTATCCAAAGCTTGGTAACCTCTTAACAGATCACCGAGCCTCAATTTTGTATTCTGTAAAATTGGGATTAAAAAACATGTTAGTAACAATTTATAAAAAGGAAAATTGTAAAAGTTATTTTTAGATTGCATTCTGTAAAAATAGGTTGTTTTATAGGTTTCACATATAATGGGAATTGGAAACCTATTAAAATATTTTTACCTTTTAAAACATACATTACTATATATATATACAAAAAATGAAGTTATTAGAAATAAAATCAAGAGCTTTCCTAGAAATTGTTTCAGCCTGCTCTTGTACATAAGGACACAGATGTCTGAAGTGTTAAAGGCAAAGATGTCGCTGAAGTCAGGTGCTCTAAATAAAACGTCTCACGTTCTTCATGCGGAATGTGAGACTAATCACAAGCAATTAACTGATTTTTAATGTAAGCTGTGGAAGATGCAAATAGTAAAAGGCTTAAATTAACTTTACAGTATTTTTGGGGGTGGCAGTGAGTAAATTGAAAGTCTTTGTTAGATCGTTAGTCTTGCACTATGTTATTATTTTCTTTTGTAAGAGATCATACCCTGAGTTATGACTAATGAAGTCATAGAATAGTAAGCAAGCAACTGCTTTTCAAGAGAACCATAAACATGATCTTTATGTGAAAATACTCTATATTGTGAGGCGAACTGTCACTCCTTTTAGGTATTTTAATATGACAAGGCGGAGCGATCCTGTAACAAGTCTGAGATATATGGTTTTATATGTTTATATTGTATATCCTAGCAACACCTACCCCATATAACATGATTTTTTGTTTAGATTTTCAAAAATACTTTATTAGTCCTTTTGCATTTGTGTTTTCTATTGAAATCTTCTGGAGAGAATGAAGTTAATAAATAATTAGAAACAGGAATATCCTTAGTCGGCCCAGGTAGGTAGCTGGGCAGCACAGTGCCTGCCTGGTAAGTGCAAGGCCTGAGTTCAATCCCCAGTGCAAAAAAACAAAACAAACAAACAAACAAACAAAAGAGCGAAAGAGAGAAAAGAATAAGCTCCCGTTGAAGTTACGCCTTTCATTGCGAGCCTGTCGTAGGCTAGAATATCATGGTCATATTGAAGAGTCAATGTGGAATATATTTTTATATAATTCATTGATTGATTTTCAGCCAACTTTAATGTTTAGGATTATTGTAGGGATCAGTCATTAATGTATTAATTCTTCTCAACTTTCATATTTGATGAAAACATTTCTCCCAGTTGGTTGAGCTCTGTAATTCTAACTTTACAGTCAGAGCCGAGTGTCACTGTCTTCACATTGTTGCTTTCATATTTAATGATCATTTGTGCGCACTTCGGCAGCACATGTACTAAAATATTTAGTGTTCATTTAATAAGAAAGTTAACTCATTTAAAACTTTTAAAAAACTTTAGAAATACATCGCATCTCTAAGAAGTCTCTTTGCTTAAAATTGTATTCAGTTTACAAAAGTTTATAATTTAAAAATTTTAAACTTTTTTTTAGAAATTTCATTATTATTTTTTCTCCTTACACACTTTGCCATGAATTTTACGTGGTTTTAGGACTAGCACATCACTTACTTTTTTAGACATAAAGCTGTAGGGTCTAGAGCTCAACCTTTTGGTTTTAAGCGCATTGAACTTAGTTGAGTTGACAGACTTGTTAGGGAGAGAGGACTTGAGGCAGCTGATTTCCATCCACATGGGAGTCATTTATCCCTAGTCACCTTTGTTAGTTACTGAGCGGGATAAATGAAATAGTACAGCCTCTCATTTTAAAAGCAGTGAATTAGTAAGTGCAAATAATACAGGCAGAGAAAATCATATTTGAAATATAATGTTCTTTTAAATTTAATTTTTAAAAAATTTTGTATTTGTTAATGACTTGCTTTAAAAATGAGAGGATTCCTCATGATGTCATTTTTGAAAATGACTAAATTTTTAGAAGCGAAGAAATTTAGTATTTAAAGTTTTAAGATGTCTTCTGATTTCACTGTTCCTGCCTGAAGGCCAAATTCCTAGAGCCACAGATTGCTGGGTCACACAGTGCCGTGTGTCCGTCTCGGACCTTCATTCTAGTTCTTAGGGTTGAATGTAGGCTGCACGGGTTTTGTGTGCAAGCATCACTATTGTAGCATGAATCGTAAGATTCCCCCAGATAGCGAGGCAAGTGGGAGTGCGGCTGCATTTCAGGGAACAAGGAAGCCTCAGGGCGACGGAGCTGGAGCTGGGAGCAGGGCGCAGGCTGCAGAGGGAGTGAGTGCGTGAGGACAGCCAGTGGGGCGCACACAAGGGCCGCGTCCTGGGACTCATCCCCAGCCAGGGGGTGAAGGTCTGGGGATAATCGCGTACGTGCAAGAGGAGAGCAACACGGTCAGGTTTATCTTAGTTTCCTTTTTAAAAAGCCGTGCTTGAGACACGCTGAGTAGGTAGGAACAAGGCAGTATCCGTGATGATGGTGTCCGGGAAGTGCGTGTGATGAGCCGGTAAGGCAGTGGCCTGAAGACAGAGACCCAGGACAGCTTTGGAGCTGTGAGGACGCAGATCGTTTCCTCCAGTCAGATCGTATTGGTACATTTTAGGGATCCATAATGATCCCATTCATCACGGAGATTTCACGCCTGTACATTGTGTAATTTGAATCTTCCTTTTTTCCCTTCCCGCTCTGTTTTCCAAAGCCGTTTCCATTTTTTTCTTTTGTCACTTTCATTTTTACTCTCCCCCCACCCCCTTGTTCATTTCCCATTTGAAGATTTTCTCCCTGTTTCACAATACCTGTTACACATTTTGTCCTTTTAGTTTCTCACACCAGAGAAAAAATGCAGTGTTTTTACACACGTGTCTGATGGATTTCATATTTAAGAGTATGGTCTCAGGGTGCATCCATTTACCACAAACCTCTCAAGCTCAGAGGGAGGGTATGGAAGCCACACAGCTGGTGATTGTCTGGGACTATGGAGAGGAAGGGCTATGTTGACCTCAGATGGCTGGTAATTCAGTCGCCTTCCTCTCCATTTGTCTTACTACGTATCAATTTCTATTGATTATAACAGTAGCTTTTGTATGTTTCATGTATATAATCTGTTCTTTATGATTTTTCTCATGTACAGCCTCTGATACGCTTTTTTCTCTTTATTCAGTGTGGAAATAGTTTTTTTTATTAACATCTGACATTTATGCATGAAGATACTGTTTAATACAATTTATTCTATTGCATCTTACATGTTAAGCCTCAAAATATTGATAGCTAAACTCACGTAGAAACAGTTGTGACTTTTCTAGAAAGTTTTGTCTGTTGGGAATAAAAGGTCCCTTTCCTCAACTTTATCAGTTCTTTTTAGATTTTAATATTTTAACCTTAAATATAGCAAGTCTTTTTTTAATATAATGTATTTTACAGAACGATACTGTAACTTACTACATTGCAAGTCAAGCTAGTTCTGTAGCTGTGAAGCTGATTCTGTATCATTTTTTGTAGTGAGAACTTACTGATTCTAATACTTCAGAGCAGAGCAAGATTTTAAATTTGATTTATGTTTAATATTTTATTGTTCAGCTCCTTCATGCTGATGTTTTGTGGACTGATTATCACCAGTATGTCTGCATTGTTTTCTTAAAGCATATATGATACTTAATATAATTATGTAAGGCTATAAAGTCACTTGGATGTCTTCATAAGTAATGGAAAGGTAGCCAATATATTTCTGTACAACATGAGTAATTATTGAATAGGGATTTATAATAGTAATAATTGTATTGTCAAAAATGTTACTTTGTGTTATTTATTTGAAGGTGTACTTTTGAAGAGATGGAGATATTTTAGAAACATTTTTAGATTCTCTATTAAACACAATTATCTTCAAACTATCTGGAAAATTCTTGCTTTACTGAACAACTCAGAAGAGTTTGTGATGGCTCATATTATTATTTTACTGAAAAATAATTTATCCAGGATTCACTAACACTCAAATAACAATATGAACATTGACTGTGAATGAGCTGATTTTCACAGGTTGATACCCCAAAACTACAGTGTGTCTGTATTACTTAAATATGAAATTAATGTCATAAAGAAAAAGTGTGAGGAAAATTAACATTTATAATTTCAACAAATGTAATGTATGAGAAAACAGTAGGCATTGATAAAAGATGTGCTTTTCCAATATAGATTGCAATTAAAATAGGTGATGTTGAACAATTCATAAATCTTACTTTTTCATTATTCAGAATTTTTAATGTCTCAAACAATGATTAGGAAAAAGTCACTCTTGTTCAGGGAAGATAAGGTCTTATATTTCACTTTAAACATACGTGTGTAGTTCATGAATGAGTGAGACAGAATACTTTCATGTGTCCAGTATGGTTTTAGTTACAATAAACATAAATTAAAAAATATTACAGTGTTGAAATCACTGCTGTGTGAGGGGCTGGGGATTTAGCTCAGCGGCATAAGCACCTACCTTGCAAGTGTGTGGTCATGAGTTCCATCCCCGGTACCGATAAAAAAGAAAAAGACAAAAAAAAAAAAAAAAATCACTGCTGTGTGTTACTTTGTGGGGGTTGGACTCTGGAAAGTTAGCATGTGCTGCTGTTTGAATGGTGAGTACACATTTCTGTCTCCTCTGAATATGAATGTCACTGGAAATAAATGATTAATTCCTGTGTAGTGGAGAAAAACCTTTGAGTGATGCAAGCTGGGGTTTGGGTTTGGGGATAGACTGAAAGGCAGAGGCGGCAGCTTTTCTTGTGCCATGTTGTATAAGGGCCCGCCGTAGGATTTGGGATGGCTATGAGGAATCTACTCTGGCTCCTCTGCAGCTCTGAGAAGTATAGAGCATTCATAGCCAGCTGTTGTATTTGACTTGCTGGCTCTGTGCCTTTAAAAAAAATTCATTTAATTAGAGCATCAGATTAGTACCAAAAAATACAAGACACAGACTGAAAGGTACCTCTCCTATCTGTGAGGATTCATCCTGGCTGGGGAAAACTGTATACATTATGTATACAGTATAGTATATTGTTTTTAGCTCACAAAGTTTTACTTAGAAGTAATTTTTAAAAAATATATAAATTGGCTGGGGCCTTATTAGCTTAGCCTTGTTAGCTTAGCGGCCTAAGTGCCTCCCTGGCAAGTGTGAGGTCCTGAGTTCGATCCTGAGTAACAAAACAAAACAAAACAAAAACAAACAAACGAACAAAAAAATATATATAATTATATCTGATAGAATTTATACATACATATATGTATGTATATACAATAATTGTTCCAGCGTACATTTTTTATTACATTAGCTTTTAAATGATATTGTTTTGTGTGATAATGTATTTTGAAATAAAATGTCTGAAAATAATTTTCCTTAACTCAGTTGAATTGGCTGTGCTGCAGTGAGCCATTTTATTAACTTCAGAGCATATTAAGTGATTTTGATGAATGTCTATGCTCATTTTACCCTATATTTGCTGAACACTTGCAAAACTAGCACCTACTCTTTAGGCACTGAGGTTACTTACTGGTAAAGAAGCAAATCTGCTGCTTGCACAGAGGTTGTATTCTAATGAGACGTTTCAGACTGCCTGACCAGAAGCGTAAAGACACCGACCGAGCAGAGCTTGTGAGGTAGTCGGAGGCCAAGGAAGTCAGAAGTGAGTTCTCAGCTAGGAAAGAGGAGTCGGGAAGTAGGACCAGCAAGTGAGCAGAGGCTGTGTTACTTAGAAAGTTAAAGACTAGAAAAAGCGTCTGGATGGAATGTCAGTGTTACGGAGAGTTACTGTAGGGTTTTCGGCTGAACCGGGTGCTCTGAGTTATGTATTTGTAATGTTAAAATCCGCTCCGATAGAGGTGTGAAGCACCAGGGGAAGCGGGCCAGGCACCGGGTGTTTCCCTGGTGTAGCTGAGAAGTGATGTAGCTTACCCCAGAGCGCTGAGACGGAATCTGACCGAGCGTTTTTACAGCAGATGCGTGATAGCCACCCACGCGGGGCCTGTGAAGCATTCCCAGTGGAACGCTTGGGCTCGAGTGACTCAGGGAGTGCTGGGTTACTGTAGGTGCCAAAATACTTAATTCTGAGCCGTTACCTCTTAACTGAGAAACGCTTGTTGTTGCCACCATCTTAATACGTGAAATTAAAAAAGAAATTATCACAAAGACTTCTTTTTTGTAGGCGGAATATGTCCAGCTTGTTACTGAACTTCGAATGACCAGAGCCATCCAGCCGCAGATCAACGCTTTCTTACAAGGCTTTCACATGTTCATCCCTCCTTCGCTCATACAGCTTTTTGATGAATACGAGTTGGTAAGGAGAAACGTGATTTTTGTTGTTACTCAAAGACACGAAAATAATTTTAGAGTGTGGTAGTGAGTTGGGTAAGGTATAATGAAGCAGTGTGGCTTAGCGTGTACCAGTCCAATTATTTACATACAGAATGGCCAAAAGTTGCAGTTTTTTCTTTAATTTTATAAGATAATGTAACAGGAGATACAAAAATGACGGTTTTCCCAAATTAATTCAGTACGATGATCAGCTGGTGCTCTGGCTAGTATGTCAACAGATGGGCTGCCTGGGTGATGCCTGGGGAAACTGTTCAGGGTTAGGGTTCAGGGTCAGGGGTTTTAAAAACTAAGATGTGCGGTTGCCCTTGTGGTGGTTGTTGTTTTGAGACAGGATCTGCGGTTGGTTCCGGCAGGCCTTAGGTGACAGGTGTGCGCTGCCAGGCCCGGCTACCTCCCAGGCTCAGTCACCAGAGTAACAGTTACTTACGTGAGACGGGGTTGGGCTGTGGTGGACAAGTACGGGATGTGTTTTTGAAGATGTTGAAGACAGTGTTTTGCATTATTTCTGAATTTTTTTTATCTGACCACGTAAAGAATGCTGATATTAACTGCTTACACTTCCAGAAAGAAGACTTTTTCTAGTGTTTGTCTAATCTTTTCTGGCTTATTGTTTTACTGTATGTATAATTTTGTAATTTTCTACTTTAGACTTTATACAGAGTCCACCCTTTCCATTTGACCATGTGAATAGGGGCTGACATATGCCTTCCAAGTTTACGCGTATTCCAATTCCAGTGTTTCAGTTTATCTTGGTGTATGTTTGTATAAAAAATAAATGTTGGTAATTTTGAAATCTGTCATGACTAAGTTTTACTAAATTTTAGGTTTGAGTGTTTTGATTTTAGTTTAATATTAATGGCTTTATTTGCCCTAGATTGATTTATTCTTCAGTAACTATAAGATTTATTATTTTTAGCACTTAAAGATGAAGTAGTTGTGAGCTATTACTTTAAAATTTAACTTTTCCAGTACTATGCTTGGGTGAAACTTGCATTGTGAACTTTAAGACAGAATTCTGTAATTTTCTGGACCCATATGTAAGGTATAACCCAGATAGCTATAACAAAGATAATACCAATAAATTAATAAAGCTTTTTATTGGTACATAAGAAAAAGATGAACATAGTAAGTGTGTAGCCAGTGAGTTTCAACAAACTGAATGTACCTGTGAAACAGCCGCCAGATAAACAGACCCAAGGGGTCCTCCTAGTGTCCCTTTCAGTCACTGCCCCCTCGAGTGTAATCATTCTCCTGCCTCCTAAGTCATAGGTCAGGCTTTACCTGTTTTTGAAATGTGTTTACAGTGGAAAAAGCCTACCTTGTGTGTGGGGGACCCATTCATGTCAGTGGATGCAGTTGTCCTTGTTCATCCTCGCTGCTGTGTAGTGCCGCACTGTGTCGGTTTCCGGTGTGTCCTGGACATGCGGTGGGCTCTCAGCTCCAGGCTGCTCCGGGCAGTGCTGCTGCAGCCATGGTGGTGTGTGTGCACGCTGTTTCACATATACTTATCCAGCCTACCTGTACCCGGAGCAGAGTTGCTTAGTACGTAAGGCGCTGTGAGTAGCATTGTAAAGTTCTGTGTCCCTTTCCGCTCCCACCACCACGTGTGAGGGACCTACGCTTTCTACACCCTTAGCATTTAATGCTTACCCCGTTTTCATTTTCACTATTCTGAGTACCACTTTCTGGTTTTTCTTATGATACTCAATTGTCTTTCCCTGATGGCTAATGAAATCAAACACCTTTTATGTGTATTGGCTGCTTGTGTGCTCTGTTTTTGAAACTTGTGTTTTAAGTAATTTGCTTATCTTTCTGTTTTCTGGTTTTGTTGTTACTGATTTATAGTGTTTTTAGATATTCTTACTGTGAATATATATTTTACTCTGCTGTCTCAGTGAATAAAAAACTTTTCAACAGGATATATAAGTTTGTTTGTTTGTTTTTAATGATGGAGCTCTCTGTGTCCTGTTTAAAAAAGTTTCTTACTCCAAGGTAATGAAGGTAATTTCCTGGGTTTTTTTCTAAAAGCTTTTATTCTTTAGCCTTTACATTCAGTTCTGTCTCTTGATAACTATTTAATTGTGCATTTTGTATTAGAAGTTAGGTTTCTTAGTTTGTCTTGGACTCTGGTTTTAAATTGATCTGATTTGATGGTAATATTTGGGACAAGTCACGGCCGTGATGTATGCACTGATAACAATGCTGACAGTTTCTAAGCGCTCGATGTTTGCTAGGCATTGTATAAATACTATTTCAACATTAAACCCTTCACCACGAGCCTCAGGTGAGAAGTTTTGGAACTGTTGTGACAGAGCGTGGACCCGTGGTGTCTGACCCCAGGGCCAGGCTCTGCATTAGTATTGCCAGACTGATTGTTGGTGACAGGAGTAAGAAGTGGCTACAGAGTCTTTGTGTCTTTTCATAGGAAAAAGTTGTGCTACACTGAGAGAATACTTTCTACAAGTTTTTGCAAACATTTCCATTAAGGGATTCAGGTGTAATTTTAGAGTTTTAGTGGGGAGAATATACCTATTAGTTCAGGGTCCTGAGCTAGAGGTGTTCCTCCATTGTGGATGAAAGGCAGTCCCAAGTCAAGAGGTAATTGTCAGTTTAGCAAAGTCATGGCAGTATTGTCTTCAATACATTGTAATACCATTACTGTTGAGGAATTTAGCAAACATGTATGGGCCTGTCTCCTAATGTACGGCTCAGGAATGTATCCATATGGCACCAGAACATAACAATGCCGAGTCCTGTGAAGGTTAAGTGAGATGGTGACCATGAGCATTGTATGACTCACATGCTGGTAGTGTAGGTTACACATTATACCCGACTAACAGTTATCTTGTTATATCTTAAAAGTTCAGTAGTTTTGTTAAATATTTTCAAAATAAGTAAATTACTGATTGGGATTAAAGTATTTTAATTACATGTACTTTTGTGAAATTCTCATTCTACTTTTGTGTTCTTTGTCAATTTAATAATATTGCCCAGTTGTTAAATAAGATAATAAAGATTTTTCTTTCTCTTCCCAGAAAAGCATAATAAATAAATATGGTATTAACTAGGTTTTTCAGATTTTTTGAGAATATAATCTGTCATTGTTATTCATAATTACTTATAATAAAGGCATAATTAATATTATTAAACACTTATCTTCAGCCTAAAATCTGATGAATTGCAAGAAACATATAACATTCATCCCTACACCTTTTGGTAGATCTGTATCAGGGTCCTACCAGGGCGTGGTATTTCCTCAAGTTGTTAAATTACGGAACTTTAATAAAGGGCCAATCATGGAGGGAGTTGTAAAGAATAAAGAAATTCTGGTAGGATGTCCAGAGCCTGCAGCAATGGAAAGCCTTTCTCGTGACTAGGACTGAAGATACAGTTGGAAGAATTATTAATTCTCCCGAGAGCTTGAGCTGCCAGGGAGGGTCCCTGGTGGTCGCCGTGGTATAGCGGTGAGACCACTGCAGAGATGTGGTGTTGAGCAAGTCAGGGCGCAGAGACGCTCCCCTCTGACTCTGCCTGGATCCCAGCTCAGCTGGAAGGGAGCCGCAAGGGGGCCGTCAGTCCTGTGGAGAGGCAGGGGAGGTATTTGAGGGAGATTGACAAGAATATCTCCATCCGGTGCATACAGGTACTTTCTAGGGCTGCTGCGAGGAGAACTAAAACCCATCTGTGCTAACACTTCTAAAGCTTACCGCCTGACGACCTCTCCCAACACGACAGAGGGGTTTTTGTTTCTGTAGATTATATTTATGGATTTTTACTTTATTTGAAGTTAGAACAAAAAAACTGTTCATTGTATATTAACATGTATAACATTTTGAAAATAAACGCTGCTATTTTCAAGAGCAAAATCAAATAGAAGAGTGGTATTGTTTGGCAGTTTTGCAAATTTAAAATGTTACTGTCTTATTACAAGACAGCTGGGTTCTAATATCTGCTTCTGCATAGAATCAGTTGTGCTGTGTTGTTTGGTTAAGTGTACAAAGAAAATTCATTTTCACATAGATAACTTGGAAAAGAGAGAACCTTCCAGATCTAATTAATAAATCTCAAAGCTCCAAGAAATCCCACCATGACCTTGTGTTAATTTTGTTCAGAGCACACTGTGTACCAGTCGTGAGCATGGTGACAGTAGCTGCTGGGGGAGGTGTGAGTTTGAGCCTCGTTACCTTTCGGTCCCTTTTGCAACCGAGCGTGCTGTTCTAGCTTGCTGTGGAAGTTCAGTGCACACAGGCATTGATTGCCTCGTTTTACCAATCCCAACTAGGAACATGGGCTGATTCAGAGACGGGAACCAAATATTTTCATGTTCTTTTCCCTTAGAACACCCAATCATAAATACTTTGTCACTCTTCATTTGCCTTTTTGTTTATATGGTTGACGTTTTGTGAGTTTTGTGATGTGTTTGATGATTCTCTGGAAAGAGCCTGTTGAGAATCATTTAGAGGACCTGTGCACGAGGCCTTGGGGTTCATTGTCAGCAGCCCTCAAAGGGAGAACAAAACAACAACAACAAAAAACAATTGTACTATCACTTTAGGGAAAACTGACTTTCAAGGTCTGAATTAACTCCTAGAAGGCTACTATTCTTGAGACAGAGTCTCGGTATATAGTTCAGCCTGGCCTAGAACTCACTATGTAGTCCAGGCTGGCCTCCAACTCATGGCAGTCCTCCTGCCTCAGCTTCCCAAGTGCTGGGATTATAGGCATGTGCCATAAATGGTGTTTTAAAAAACAATAATTTTATGTTACTTCCTTTTTCCTAAAGATAAGAATGTTTGATGCACATTATTTTAGCATTTACTGAAGTCTTTGCTGTCACTTTAATATTGAGAATATAGTCCTCTGGTAGAATTTAATGTTTGCAAAGAAACATAAAAATAAGTAAACTAAAGATGATGTTCATACAGTTGTTGCATATGTAGACTGTTGTGTATAACTATACAAACTGCAGTCTCATGTTTTAATTGAATTGAATCACTATGGAAACATCAGTACCTCACAATGTTTGAAGTAATCAGTGTCAAGGATTCTTTCCTAGGTAGTTCTTACTATGGACGGCTGTGAAGACTGTCACAAAAAGAAATCAGGTTTATATGGGGTTACTTTATAATTAAGCCAAACTTCCTATGTAATAATTTTTTTCCCCAAAGAAGATTAATGAGATACTTTTCTTTTCTCACAAAGGAGCTGCTGCTTTCTGGCATGCCAGAAATTGATGTGAGCGATTGGATAAAAAACACAGAATACACAAGTGGCTATGAAAGAGAAGATCCTGTTATTCAGGTAAAATCTCTCTAGAGCTTAGAACAAGGTTAGGTTTGCCATTTAATTTTGTAAGTTTCTAAGCACTATTAGATGAAAACTTACATTAATTAACAAAGTAAAGCTTTCCTCTAAATATGTCTTGGGGAAATATTGCATATGAAAGCTTTGTGTGAAATCATTTTTGATAACTGAGTTTCATAGAATAAAATATGCTTTATGAATATTGCTTAGTTCTTTGGTATTACAAAGTTTATGTTTGCTCTGAAATATGAGCTAAGCTTTTGTTGTTATGCTTAGTGGTTCTGGGAAGTTGTGGAAGACATCACTCAGGAAGAGAGAGTTCTTCTCCTGCAATTTGTTACTGGCAGGTAAGAAGTGTTTTTATGGTAAGCACAGAAAGAATGTAACATATATTATTTTCAATGGCTTAGAAAGTCTAATCGAAACTAACTAGAATAAAGGCATTACTGAACTGTTGCTATTTTACTACTGTTTTTACTATTTTAGGTATTAAAGATTTATTTAAATATTGAAGTTAAACATTTATAGCATTACTCAATAAATGTTTACCATGTTAAACCAGGTCCAGGCAGTACACTGTATAATTTGGTAACTTGCGTTCTGTAGGAGATAAATGCGTCAGATTTTAGTGTTGATACATTACTGGCTTGGTGTGACAGTACAGGGATTCAGTTTGCCCTTCTGTGTCTCCCCACCTCTTCTCTCGTGTGTAGCCCAGACATTCTCTATGCATACAGAGTGTGTTGTTCTCCAGTTTTTACCAAGTTTAAAGTATTAAATTTGTTGCTTAAAAAATACTTGTGATACATTTCTTTGAAAAGTCTACTCTTAAGGCCAATTAAATATAATAGGCAATAGAAAACTAGGCGATTTAAGCCTCTTTTATATTTCTAAAGATTAAAAACCTGATTTTCATTTGTCTGAAACTTGGAATTTCATCTCTTCCCTTTATGACATGTGGTTCGTGGTGGTGCATACCTCTAAACCTGTCACTGTGAGGCTGAGACAGGAGGATCACGAGTTTAAGTACAACCTGGGTAGTTTATTGTCTTGGTGAGACCCTGTCTCAGAATAAGGAGTGGGTGGGGTGTGGCTCAGTGTGAAGGCCGTGAGTTCTGTCCTTAATTCCCTCCATGCCACACACGAAAGAACGATCCAGTCTTTCCATTCCAAATGTACATGGCAGATTATATATTCCTTTGCCAGAACAGCTACAATAATTTAATGTATTTTATTGTTTTTTCTGTGTATTTAAAGAAACTGTGTATCTATGTAAAATACATATATAATCTTTTAAAGACCCTGATTTTCTCATTTTAGAAGTAGAATATAAGCATTAAAAATGAAAACCCCAGTAATTTGTGAGCACTGATCAGGCAGCATCACCTTCCTTGGGCAGATGAGCAGAACGCTTGGTTACTATGTGAGTGGGCCGCGAGGGCCTGCCTGGCCTCGTGCACTGTGTGCGGACCGGCATCCTATCATGCGTGCTCCTCTGGTGCCACGCGCTTTTGCCGTAGTGCTGTGCCTTAGAACCGGCTGCCGTGGGCTGACTTCCCAGAACTGTAACCCACAGTGAACCTCTCCTTCGTGCTGAGTGTTGGGTATTGTGTCCCAGCCACGGAAGAGCAGGCTCATGTGAAATCTGGATATCTTGGTTTATTTTCTTAGTCTTGTGGCCAGCTAAGCAGAAAAATTGTTGAAATCACACTGTATTTAATTTAATAAGTAAAACATGACTGTCCACAAGTTACAGACACGAGATTAAACTGTCTGTTCCTTCCTCCTGGGTACCAAAAACTACTCACAAACTTGGGTAATTTAATAAAAAGAGTGGAACAATATTTTCTATATGGGAAGATGAATCAATTCAGTTTAGAAAAATTACTGCCTCTAATCTCAATCCCTACAGATAATCAAATATTAATATTTTGGTTATTCTTCTAGAACTATTTCCATATATGTAATCTTTTGCTTTTTTTAAACCGTTGTTTGTATTTTATAGCTTCTTATTTTTTTGTGGTACTAAGGATTGAACTCAGGGCTCCACACATGTACACAAGCGCTGAGTTACACCTCCAGCACCCCTCCACATTACAGTTTTATTCTGAGACAGGTTCTCATTAGGTTGCCAACACTGTGAACTTTGAGTCCTCCTTCCTCGGCCTCTTGAATAGTTAGGATTATAGGATCATGCCCACCTTAACTTTCTAAATTTAGGAATATATCATTAGAAATTGTTACATACTCGAGAGGCTGAAGCAGGAGGATCATTGCAAGTTTGAGGCCAGCCTGAACTGCATAGTGAGAACCTGTCTCAAAAAGACCAACAAAAAAGAAAAAAGTTCCATATATAGACTGATAAAATTTTTTAAATGGCCACATATACTTCCATTTATGGTCTTATTTTTATTGATAAAACTTCTGTTCATGAATGATGCTGTACAAGTAAGAGATTCTGATGCTTTTATCCTTGAGATACAGTCTCACTACTTATATAAGATAAATTCTTGGTGCGCTTGTTTTGTGGACATAAGGATATACAGTATTGGGTTGGGGATCTAGTTTCAGGGCAGAGTACTTGGTAGAATACACAAGGGCCTGGGGTCAGTCTTCGGCATCACACATACACACAAAAGTATGGTAATTTCCATGACTTTTATACATATGGTCCGGAAGGCACTAATATTGAGATTAACAGGGAACGGAAGGACTTACTACCCTATTTGAAGTCAATATGAGGTATGTTCATTTTTATTTTTTTAAAAATTCAGTTTAAATATTTTTATGTATTAGTGACATGAAGTGTAGATATGTAATATCTTATCATTTAATTTCTTAAACATACAGATTTCAGTGTACTTTTTTTTTTTTTTTGTCTTTTTCCTTTTTATCGGTACCAGGGATCGAACTCACGACTGCCTGCTTGCAAGGCAGGAGCTTATGCCCCGGTGTACTTTTAATGAGTACCATAGTTGAATTACATGACCAAGTTGGTTTTTGTCTCAGTTACATTTCTCATTGTTGAGACAAAATACCTGGGACCCAGAGCTCAAAGGGTTTATTTAGCACACAGTCTGTAAAGGTTTCTGTTTATCATGGGCTGGCTACAGGACACAGGCGTCACGGAGGAGAAGCAGTTCATGGGAGGCAAAGGCAGCAAGCAGCAAGTGACAACTGCAGCCCTCCTTCTGTCCCTTGCATTTTATCTAGGGTACCTGCCCTTGGTGGGTAGCACTCACGCAAAGGCGGGTACCCGTCATCCTACCCAGAACTGTGCCAGAGCAGTCAGTGGGCTAATTTAGTAGTCACGCACCCTTGATCCCAGCATCACACATTCTAGATCCAGGGAGCTCTGAAAAGCCCCCTTGGGACCACAGGAGCCTTTACGGGGCATCTCTAAACAACCCATAACAGTTACCCTTTAGTAGTTTTTAAAAACTTAAGGTTACACATGCACGTATTCATCTACATTTTTTCTTTGACATTTTGTAGTTACTGTTTTTGCATTCCAATTCTTAAGCCATCTGGATTTTGAGATAGGGCTTGTTTGTTACTTTTCTAAAAGGTTTATGACTCAGAACTATTAAGTGAATTGTTGTATTTTCCCTGTGATTTGGTTGATATACGTCATACAGATACAGAAAATAATTACTCAGGTTCTTTAGCACTAAAATATCTTAAATTGCTACTTTGATAGAGCAAACCGTCTTTGATAGCAGACTATACAGTGCTCTTTGTGTCTAAGTAGCAATGCTGAGAAGAGCTTCACTCTTTTATTATTTAACTGGGTATGAAGTAAGGCACATCCGTTAGCATAAAGTGGGAAACGTGGCTAAATAGTAGAAGCCAAGTAAGCCACAAGGAAACACCACCAGAGCTAAGCTTCAGCCCCAGTCAGAGAGATCTGCTTACGAGTCCTGTACTTGAGCTCAAACTTCAGTTCATCAAATCCTTACTTCCTTTTCCTTATTACCCCAGTTGTTAGCATTGGTAAAGAATTTTCTGTATTTAGTACAGACTTAACTGAAAAGTCAAATGTATTCCAATTGTGAAACGAGTTAATACTAAAAATAATCTTTAAGTATTTTTGAGGGTAACATTTTGTTTAGGTCTTCAGTGTCTTACCATTTTGTTTTACTGCTCCTAAGGATAGTGGAAATCAAATTTTATGATTTATCTGTGTATAAATTAGTATAGTTGTTCCTTAGTAATCCTGAGTTTTGCAGTCATGGATTCAAACCAGCACAGATCAAAAATACTTTGGAAAAATACTTGTCCGTACCGAACAGATACGGAATTTTTTCCTTGACATTTTCCCCTAAACAGTACCCAGCTTTGCTTGCATGAGCTCATGGATTCAATTCCTAGTACTAAAGAAAAAAAAATCAGAACAGCTTACTTCTGTTCTTTTTCATTTTTGGTAACCTTATGAATTTTTAAGACAAAGATTAATTTTACAGAGACTAACAGTGAATTTTATTTTGGTTTAAAAACATCCATATCTAGGTTCTCTTCAGGTATTCTCTTGGCCCAAGTAGGAAATACTCATGCATCCATGCTGTGTTAGAAAGATTCAAGAATTGGTGTGTGTATGCTTGTTTGTTTTTGTTTTGTTTTCTTTGGGTACCAGGAATTGAACTCTCGACCTCCTGCTTGCCAGGCAGGTGCTTATGCAGCTGAGCTAAATCCCCAGCTGTGTGTGTGTGTGTGTGTGTGTGTGTGTGTGTGTGTGTGTGTGTGTCTGTCTTTTTTGAGACAGGATTTTACTATGTAGTTTAGCTTGCCCTCCAGCTCCTCACTATGTAGCCGTAGCTGGCCAACCCTGCCTCAGCTTCTCAAGTGCTAGGATCACAGGCGTGTGCTACCACACCTGGCAAGGATTCTTTTAATGTTTACTGAGATTATCCAGGTAACCTAGGAAATGTTTATCAGTAAAGCATTTACTAGCAATCAGTACTTCCCATCTTCAAACAAACAGAAAACAAAGAAACTACTGTTTTTAGGGATTCTTTTAAATTAGATTGGCAGACTTTTTCCTCTTGTGAATATATGTATCAGTAATTTCAAATAGAAAATCCTGTTTCATGTTTTGGAGTTTTTATATGAGTGTAGTAAAAAAATGCATAGCATAAAAGTTACTTTTTGGGGGGGGGGTTCTGGGGATCAAACTCGTGACTTTGGGCTTGCCAGGCAGGTGCTTGTGCCCTGGGCTAATTACTTTTGAAAAAGCCATTTTTAAGTGTGTATTTTTGTGGCAGTAAGCATAGTTACATTGTTTACAACTATTACTGTATCTGTCTCCCAAGTTTTTTCATGTTTCTAACCAAAACTTTGTAACTATTAGGCACTAACCCCCTGGTTTCCCTCCCCAGGCTCTGTTGTTCACCATTTTTTAATGTCTCTATGAATTTGATCTCTCTAGGAATCTAATCTCATCTAAGTGGAGTCATACAGTATTTGCCCTTTGATTATTTCATTTAGTGTGTTATCTTCAAGACCATTCATGTTGTAGCGTGTGTCAGAGTTCTTCCTCTTTAAGGCTGAGCAGTATTCCTTTATGTACCACATGTTTCCTAACCATTCATCTGCCCGTGATCCCTGGGCTGCTGCTGCCATTTGGCTGGTGTGAATAATGCTCTTGGAAACATGAGCAACTGTTCACATGTCTGCCTTCTGTTCTTTTCAGTGTAGACCCTAAAGAATCGTGGTAATTCTGTTTTACTTGATGAGAGCCACCACACTATTTTCCACAGAGGCTGCACCCTTTCCCTTCCCCACTACCAAGTTTCTACATTGGGCCAGTGCTACTTGTTTTCTGGAGGTTTTTGTTTAATTCTAATAATCACCTTAATGATGTGAAGTGGCATTTTATTGTGATTTGACTTGTTTATTTGTTGTCAGATGAGTGATGCTGAGCATCTTTTCATGTGCCCATTGGCCATTGTATGTCTTTTGAGAAAGGTCTCTTTTAGTCCTGTACCCATTTTCAGTTAGGCTGCTTTATTGTTCTTGGAGGTCTTTGTACATGTCGGATATCAACCCCTTATCAGCTGAATGCCTTGCAAATATTTTCTTCTATTCCATGGATTGTTTTTTCATTCTATTCATCAGGTCCTGTGATGGACAAGTTGTTCATTTTGATAAAGAGCAGCTTCTCTAGATTTCTCTGTTGCTGTACTTCAGGTGTTACGTCCAAGAAATCATTGCCAATCCAGTGTCCTAAGCTGTGCTGTATTTTTTGTAAGATTTTTATCATTTTCATTCTTTTGTTTAGGTATTTGATCTAATTCAAGCTAATTTGTGTATGTAGCAGAAAGCAGGGGCCCAGCCACCGGCCCCTCCATCTCCGGCCCTCCATCTCCGGCCCTCCATCTCCAGTGTCCCAGCTACTTTGTTGAATAGGTTGCTCTTGCCTCATGAAGCGTTCTTGGCATTCTTCTTGACTGTAATTTAACTGTGTTGCAGAAGATCATTTCTGGTCTGTCTTTTGTTCCTTTGTGGACATGTCTTTATTCCAGTACCGTACTCTTTTGATTACTACATTTCTGCAGCAAGTTTCAAAACAGGGGCATGGAACTTTTGCAGAAAGGAAGGGGGGACAAAGAGGGAGGGAGAAGCAGGGTAGAAAGGGACAAAAAGGGAAATAAGACGCATTGTGCACGTGGAGCAGCTCTCCATGATGAGGGCAACCATGTGTACCACAGCGTGTACTAATTAAAAAAGAATCAAATACGATACTTAATGAACTGTGTGAATTAAAAAAATAAAATCAGAATGTGTGTGTTTTCTCTATTATTCTTTTAGAAGATAATGTTTTGGCTATTTGAGGTTTAACAGATTTTTAAAAAGTGGATTGAATTATGCATTGTACTATGTATCATATGCTAGAAAACATTTAACTTCTAGTTACACTTTTTTATGCATTTAATACCTGGATGCTAAGTGTTCCTGTGTTGTCATTCCTGTGTATCCAGAAGCATCACAGAATCTCATCTTACTCCTTGTTGGTCTTTGCAGTCCTAGGACTGAGCTCAGGGCCTTGCACTTGCTACATCCATACTACTGAGTTACTCCCTGAGTTACATCCATAGCCCACAGCCCCATTTTAAAAGCACCAGCTTTTTCCAGGATCTGTTTGCTTCATCTTGATACTTAGCAGACCACTTTGAAATACTAATTTACTTTCAAATATATAGAGCTTATAAAGTCATAATTACATCATCTACAGCCCTATATCCCAGGTGAAAATTTCTAGTGTTGCGTTAGGTGTTTTAGTCTTGTGATCTGTTATACTACGTGACATTTAGAAAGTGTGTTTGGTATTCTGAGTATCTGGAAAGAGAAATCTAAAGAATTCTTAGTTTCCCCACTGTGAAGGATAAACCAAAACAGACAAAGAGAGAAATCATTTGGAACATAATATCTAAGAGCATTTGTTGCTTGAATTAATCATTCATTTGTTCAACAAATAATGTCTGTAGATACCTGGCATTTTGTAACCCTTAAGGATAGAGATAAGCATGACATATTTGGGCCATCAAATGAGTTCCAGTTTAGTAGGCAGGCTTACTAGTTTAGTTTGGTAGTAGGGAATAATTGTAAATGCATCGTGCTACTATAAGTAGAGGGTGCTGAGCCAGTTGAAAGCGTCACAGCAGTGTGTGTGTGTGTGTGTGTGTGTGTGTGTGTGCGTGTGTGTGTGTGTGTGTGTGTGTGAGGGCGTGCTTCCAAGGAGGCTTGCTAACCGGTCAGGAAATGTGTGAAGAGTTTTGCAGAATCCAAAACATTGTCTTGTCATTGTTCAAGTTGCATATATTCCAATCCTAATTTAGAGCTTACAATTTATCTGTCAATGGTTTACCTTTCATGATTGTAAATTAAGAAACAGACTCTTAGTTCCAGGGTCCCACATGGTGGTTTTGCTAATATCATGGGTGGCAGTGGATTGCAAAACTTCACGATTGCTGCTGTGCCATACACCCCAAATCTGCTGCCAACTTCAAGCACGTGGTAAGTTTATTTAAATGTATCTTGAATTGTTTGGGCTAATTTTAAATGTTTAAAGGTTAGACTACTTCGTTGCTATATTGAAAGGAAAATCTCAACTGTATTCTGTATTCAAAGTTCTGGAATGTAGATTGATGGGTAGTTATGTAATTTTTGTTCCCCCTTTTTTGATAGGGAAAATTCTTGGGGAAAACCTCAACTACCTAAAATTCAGTTGAATATGGTTTAAGAATCACTAAAGTTATATTGTCATAAATATCGCTGAGTTACACAATCACTTCAGACTAAACTGCCCTGTTACTTACTTTATGCTGAAAGCAACTTATTTTCTTCCACTACATTTGCATGCTGAGAGAAACTGCAGTGCAGGCTTTTTTTCCTTTTTAAATACTACTTCAGGGTTTTCCAATTTGAATGCAAATTTGAGAGAACAGTTTTATGTTAACTATGAGTATTGTTTTCACTACTAGTTATTGCTAGATAAAACAATCAGAAACGCCGTAGATTTTCTGTTTAATGGTGGTATGTATATATTTTTTGAAGCATCAACATGCTCAAGTTGCCTGAGTACCCAAGTAAAGAAATACTAAAGGACAGGCTCCTTGTGGCACTACATTGTGGCAGCTACGGTTACACGATGGCGTGATGCAGTGGAAGACTCCTCCGACTGCGGACTCACAGTTCAGAGGGGCAGAAGCAATTTAGGAGACGGCGACCGAAAAGTAGCCTCCGTGCAACCCACAGGCAGAGCTGACGTTTACATGCATAAAGGACCAGCTTTCCTGTGTTTCTCTCTTTCCCTTTTATGCTCTGTGATACGACTAGAAAATAGAAAACGACTGCAGACGTTTTTAAAAACTGCAAGGTGAAAATAGTATGAAGTGTCCTTTTCATGTTCCATCCAAGGTTGTGTTAGGGCCAAAGTCTTACTCTACGTTCCACCTCTGAGGTAGCTGCCTTGTTAAAATGTATTTTCCTCTTTATTTTGCTGTGTATGTGGACATCCCCAGCTGGTATGTTCTGCTGCATGTGAAGTGCGGTTTATATTTGGAAAACAATTGTAAAGAATGAATTAATTTAGATTGTGTATAAAGCCACAGATATGTATTTTCCCATATTGTATGTATATTGCAATGATTTTCTAGGTTTTTAGTACTTTAATGTATAATGTAAAATTTAGACCGATGTGACTAAGAAACTGCTGATACAATGACATGTAATTTATATATTAAACCTTACATGGATTGGCATCTGTCAGTGGTCAGTTTCTATATGTATGTATTACGGTTTTTCTTACGCTTTATTTCAATTTAAAGGTATACTTTACCATATTTTTATTACAGTCATCTGTGTGTCCTGGTAACATTTGAGGAAGCAATCTGATTTACAGATTACAATTTATGTAATGTTTTACTTCTTAAAATTGCTTTTTGTGATTAAATGTTATGTACAAGTGATAATGCCTAATACAGAGCATTGGGTTTTTAAATCTTTGGATGGTCTAATAAATTTTTTTGTTTGCTTTTGTTTTGGAAAGATACCCTAGGCAATTACAACACGAGAATTAGAGCATGAATGTACCAGAGATAGTCACACACACATGGAGACATGCTAACAGGAGCATTTGAGATGTTTAGGACCTGGCCTGTGGAAACTGTAGAATCCAGTGCCATTATTATCTACTGAATGATTTGTGCATATTTTCTCATGTGAGCAACCAGTGTGTTTACCCAGTGACAGGGATATTTAGTCGAGAGATGTACTTTGAAAATAATAGGACCCAAAATGATACAAGATTTTTTTTCTTGATTATTTTGGGTCCTATTCTGTTGCTTTTTTTTTTAAAGATTAAAAACATGTCAACAGATTATAGAATTCCTTAAATTATGGTTCTAAAATTAAGATTCAGATTTCTTTATTTGTAGTAACTGAAGTTAATGTTTTAAATTTGGGGTTTTTTAATTGTAGAAGATATCATTATCTTGTGAAAAACAAAAGTACAACAAATGTCATTTTGCAGATATTAATTGCGTTTTATTTATAGTTCTCAAATTAGCCAGTGCTCAGAGCCACGACAGGACTAGAAAACTCAACTGTGAAGTGTGGTTGAGATCATTTATGGGCAGAACATGGAGATGAGGTACAGAAATAACTGTTGAGTAGCCCTTGGCATTTCCTTGGTACATGATTTAAACATTTGACAGTTTGTGGGTCAGTAAAATTTACCTGTTGTATTGCCTGAGACCTAACTGGTGGTTGTGGGAGTGTATTCCTAAGTTAGATTGCAGGGTTTTTTGTTTGTTTTAACCATAGTGTCTCTTTCCTTGAAATATTTGAGTATACCTTCATATACGATAGCATCAAACATAACAAGACAGTGTAAAATCATCCAAGAGAATGAAACTGTTACGGGGTATTCAGAACGAACTAACAGAAAACGAACAATGGTTACTATATTATCTCCTTGTCTATAAAAATTTTTGTTTATACTATCACGTCTAATAAAATCCAGTAAGATACAACATGATAAAACCGATGGAGACAGAAGAACGAAAGCTTGGTGGGACTTCAAAATGTGATGATATTAAATCATCACTAGCTATTATAGTGTCTTGTTTTCTTCAAAATAGCTGTTTATATCATTACAGACAATTAAAATTAAACAACCCAGAATAACACCATTCCAACTAATGAATGAAAACATTATAAGGCTTCAAAGCAATGTAATGGGGAATCATATTACCACATACTTTTATGTATTCTTATCATTTCTCACACTGGGGAAACTATTTGGTATTTATACATGTGAGTTTGATTTATTTTGCTTATAAGTATGGTCTCAAGCTGTGTCCATTTATTTATAAATATCTCAATGTGATCCTTCTTTATAGCTGAGTAGTACTCCATTGTATAAAAATACCACATCTTTTGTATCCATCCCTCAGTTGATGGATATTTAGGTTGTTTCCAAGATCTGGCTAATTACAAATTGTGCTGCTATAAACATAAGTGCACATATATCACTGTGGTATGATGTTTTCAGTTCTTCTGGGAATATGCCTAGAAGTGGAATAGCTGGAATAAATGGGATTTCCAATCCCAACTTTTTGAGAAATCTCCAGACAGACCTCCACAAAGGCTGTACCAGTTTACACTCCCACCAACAGTGCCGGAGAGTTTCTTTTCCCCCACAGCATCTCTAGCATTTGTTGTTGGTGGTTTTCTTGATCCTGGTCATTGTTTCTGGAGTGAGATGGAATCTTAGTGTGGTTTTAATTTACATTTCTCTAATGACTAATGATGATGAACATTTTTTCATGTATTTATTTGTCATTTGTATTTCTTCATCTGAGAATTGTGTATTCATCGCAGATGCCCATTTTTTGAATTGGATCTTTGAATTTTGGGAGTCTGACTTTTTAAAATTTTTTATGTTTTAGACAGAAGTTCTTTGTCTGAGAGACAGTTCACTAAGATTTTTTTCCCAGTTTGTGGGTTTTCTTTTCACTATGCTGGAGATTTCTTTTGACATGCAGAAACTTTTTAATAAGAGGTGATCCCAGTTATTGATTCTGGGAAGTATTTCCCATGCGGTTTGATTCCTGTTCATGAATTCTCTACCTACCCCTATGTCTTCAAGGTTTCTACCCAATTTGTCTTCCAGTAGATTTAGTGTTTCTGTTTTAATATTCATATCTTTGATCCATTTAGATTTTAATTTAGTACCTGGTGATAGGCATGGGTCTAGTTTTAGTTTTCGGCATATGGAGAGCCTGTTTTTCCAGCACCATTTATTAAAGAGACTGTCGCTCTTCCAGTAAACCGGTTTGACCGCTTTATCAAAGATAAGGTGGTTGAGTATGTTTGTAGTTGTGGTTGTATCTTCTAATCTATTCCATTGATCTTTGACTCTGTTTAGGTTCCAGTACCATGTTAATTTTGCTACAGTTGCTTTGTAGTATAACTTCAGGTCAGGGATTGTGATGCCTCCTGCCTTGCCTTTGCTGCTTAGAACTGTCTTTGCTATTCTAGGTCTCTTCTCTCTCTTCAGATGAATTTTAGGAGTGATTTCTCGAGATCCATGAGGTATGTTGATGGTATTTTTATTGGGATTGCTTCGAATTTGTACAACAGTTTTGGGAGAATGGCCATTTTCACAATATTTGTTCTTCCTATCCATGAACAAGGGATATCTTTTCATTTTCTGAGATCCTCTTCAATTTCTTTTTTCAGTGTATTATAATTTTCCCTATGTAGATCTTTTACTTCTTTCGTGAGTATAATTCCTAAATATTTCATTTTTTTAGTTGTTAGTGTGAGCGGTGTGGCTTTTCTTATTTCTCTGTCTGTGATTTTGTTATTAGTGTTTAAGAATACTATTGATTTTTGAGCATTGATTTTTGTATCTAGCTACACTGCTGAATTTATTTATTATATCTAAGAATCTTTCAATGGAATTTAGGGGGTCTTCTATGTAGAGTATCATGTCATCTGTAAACAGTGATAATTTAACTTGTTCTTTTCCTATCTTTACCCTTTTTATTTCTCTCTCTTGTCTAATTGCTCTGGGTAGTATTTCTAGTATTATATTAAATAGGAGCAGTGATAAGAGACATCCTTGTCTTGTGCCTGATTTTAAAGTAAAGGCCTTCAGTTTTTGGCCTTTTAGTGTGAATCCCACTTGGTCATGGTGTATAATATTCTTGAAGATTTGCTGCATCCTATTTGCCAATGGTTTTTTGAGGATTTTTGCATCTGTGTTCATTAGGGAGATTGGCCTGTAGTTCTCTTTTTTAGTTGGGTCTTTCTCAGGTTTTGGTACTAGAGTGATACTTGCTTCCAGGAATGACTTAAGAACACTTGCTTCCCTTTCAATTTCATTGAAGAGTTTGAGGAGTGTCAGCATTAAGTCTTCTTTGTATTTCTTGTAGAATTCTGCAGTGAATCCATCTGGGCCTGGGCTCTTTTTTGTAGGTAGGGACTTAATTACATTTTCAGTTTCATCAATAGAAATTGAGTTATTCAGCAGTTTTGCCTCTTCTTGACCTAGCTTTGATACTTCATGTATTTCTAGGAATCTGTCTATTTCTTCTGTGTTATCAACCTTTGAGAGTAGAGGTTTTGGAAATAGGTGTTGATGATCTTCTGTATTTCTACAGAGTCTGTAGTGATTTCACCTATTTCATTTCTTACTGCATGAACTTGAGCTTTTCCCTTTTTAAAATAAGGTTGGCTAGGGGCTTGTCAATTTTATTTATTCTTTCAAAGAACTAAATTTTTGATTCTTTAATTCTTTGGATTGTTTTCTTAGTCTCTATTGCATTAATTTCTGCTCTGACTTATAATTTCCTCCCTTTTGGCTTTGGGCTTGACTTGCTCTTCTTTTACTAGATGTTTGAGGTGTAGCATCAGGTTATTTATTTGTGTTTGTTCTGTTTTCCTGATGTGGGAACTCAGTACAATAAATTTTCCTCTGAGGACAGCCTTCATTGCATCCCACAGATTCCGGTAAGTTGTATTTGTATTTTTGTTTGCTTGTAGGTATTCTTTAATTTCCTCTGTGACCCACTGATTACTCACGAGTGTGCTATTCAGTTTCTATGTTTTTGTGGAATTTTTTGCTGTATATCTTATCATTAATTTCTAATTTCATGGTGCTATGATCTGATAGCATGCATGGGATAATTTCAACTCTGCTGAGATAAATATGTATTCTGATGTTGTTGGATGGAACACTCTGTATATGTCTATCAAGTCCATTTGTTCACAGGTGTGTTTCAGTTCTGTTATTTCTTTGCTGATTTTCTGTCTGGTTGATCTGTCCCTTGATGTCAGTGGTGTGTTAAGGTCTCCTGTTATAATTGTGTTACTGCTAATTTGGTTTTTCATTTCTGTTAATACTTGTTTTATATAACTGGGTGCTCTGGAATTTGGTGCATATATATTTAAGATTATCATCTCTTCCTCTTGAAGTTTTCCCCTAACCAGTATGTAATGACCTTCTTTATCTCTTCTGATCATTCTTGGTTTGAAGTTCACATTGTCTGCAAACAGAATAGCTACCCCTGTTTTTTTTGGGTTCCTGTTGCATGAAGTATTGTTTTCCATCCTTTGACGTTTAGTCTGTGAGTATCCTTTTGGGTTAGATGGGTTTCTTGTAGACAGCATATGGTTGGATGTTATTTCTTGATCCATTCTGCCAGTCTGTTTCTTTTAATTGGTGCATTGAGACCATTTACATTAATGGTTATAACTGTTATATATTGGTTTATTGTTGACATGTTATCTTTCTGCTGTTGCATCTTTATCTTTCTGTTCTGTTTGTCTGCTTTGCTTAGTGATTTTTTCCTAAGTATGTCTAAACTGTGTTTCAGTATTCTTTACAGGGTTGGCTTGGTGATCATGAAGTTCATTAGCTGTTCTTTGTCATGGCAGTATCTTATTTCTCCATTGATTTTGA